TTATCCTCAGGTATTTCGGTAACCTCCAACTGAACATCTGCGACGCCGAACTCTGCGTAAAATCCATGAAAAATAGGGGGGACAAAGGGTAGTAATTCCTTAAGGTTTTTAAGTTTTTTTGGATTTATTTTCACGAAAGCAGAATACTTAAGAGGCAGATCTGACAATGTTGGCCAATTCGCAAAGTGGACACCTCGTTTGCCAATGTTAACTGGCTTGAATGTTTCATTTAGGTAATGTTTTATAAACATTGTATTGGGGTGCTCTACTTCAAATCGAAAGCATCGTACTTTGCTAAAATTAACTTGTTCTTTTGTGTCTGTCACATGTTTTTTGTTTATATATTTTAGAATATCTCCAAAGGTATAAAAATCCGCCTGCGTCATAGGTACTACTTCAAAAGGATTTTTTACTTTAGCTTCTCTGACAGCGTTATGCCACTGTTCTGGTGAGTACACCTGTTTCAGATATTTTTTACGCTTTTCGATAGCGGCAAAATCCCTATCTGATGGTAGGTGGGTATGCCCTGGCACAAGAAATCGATGTTCAATGGCCTTGAACTTTTTATTGCGTATTAGCTGTAACCATAAACACATAAACACATAACCGTCCAGTTTTTATTTTGACCCCCGCAGTTGTCAGTATAAACTATCAGTTCTTCTGTTTGGGGGGCAAAATGATTAATATATTTTAAAATAGCACTTGCTATTTCATCGCTTCCACGCTTTGCAATGTGTTCTGGCCACATAAACATAAATCCTCTACCTGTATTACAGTTATGTACTCCGAGATTGTACATCCAAGCCTTTCTGAGGTAAAAAGCCTTTCCCACAGTCAAATCTGGCATTGGGAGAGCTTGTTGAAGATCAAAAGAAATAACAAGTTTCTGGTTTCCTTTTTTAGCTTCTTCGGTCTCAGCTTTTAAGCTAGCCTGCATCGCTTCTGCCCGTCGTTGATGTAAATCTAAATTAAGTTGAATTTCTTTTAGTTTTACTTCATCGTTTGCAGACGAGTCAAGTAAAGTTTTGTACTGATCACATGTATCACACGTGTCGCTCTTTGGCAACTTAAATCCAATGTTGTACTGACCGCAGAATATCCTTCGATAAGTATCTTCTTTAACTGGTGAAATATCCTGTTCTCTGCACCATGGAATGTAGAAATTTTTATATAGGGAAGCAATAGACATGTCGTGATCTATGTAAACACGATTGGGATTCTTTTTTCTGCTGTAGTGGCTAGTATACTTAGGGATAGCGTTAATATGATCGTGTACACTTTTTACGGTTTCTACAGGTAATCGATTTTTGCGGTTGTGATGTTTACCACGTTGGTCACATTTTGGAACCGTATTGCCCTGACGAATCTGTTTGCAAATATTATATAACCGCTTTTTGGAATTCTGAAGGCCATGAATGGACAAGAACTCCTCCTTGCATATTTTCACGTCAACTCCGTTAACTTTAACAGAATATGAAAAAGTAACTGTTCGAGAAGAAGTTTGCCTTTTTATTTTCTTGGGGTAGCGTCTTTTTTTAGGTAGAGCTTTTATTGTGCCAAAAAGATACGCATTCTGTTTATCAAAAGACGCCAAATTCCAGAAAGCATGGAAAAGGGTTTCTTCATTTCCTAGAAGCAATGTTCTGCAGCGTTTTTTGCAATGGCATGTGGGCCCCATAGTTTTTGGTAGAATTTTTTTACCCTTCCAATTTTCATAGGAGTGACCTAAATTTTTTCGGTGTTTTGCCTTTTCTCGTTTCCTGGTTTCTATATTCTGATGTCGCCATCTTGCCTTCTGTTTTTTTTCAGGAGTTTCAATAAAACCTCGTGATACGTTTGGATCCTGGAATAAGGAAACATTTGTTGACGAAAGAAGGAAACAAGCCACAAAAACAAGTGGACAAACTTTATTGTCGAAAAAAGGTAATAAGCCACAATACAAATAAAACAGAGGATTAAAGGTATTACACAAAAGTTTCGTCGGTAATATTTCCTAAATACACCTGCTAACTTTATATACAACGGTTAGGAGTACTTTGTGCCAGAATATAGCGTCAAAATAAAAAAAAAACAAGAAGGTAATAAGCCACTAATTACAAAAAAAAAACTACTGTCTAGCTTAAAAGGGAATAAGCCACATGATTTTTAAACATACCACAATATCACTTTCCTCGCTAGTTTCACTATCGTAACTTGAATTTACGTAATCTTTGTCCTTTATACTATCATCTGAGCCGAAGTCCGATTCAGAAGAGGTAGAATTATCACTGTTTTGTAGCACTTTACGCTTAACACCTGCTGAACTTGACGACGCCATGATTTTTTGTGTGGCTTGTTCCTTCTTGACCGGTAAAACCCGCACAGACGGCTAGAGGCAAAAACGAGTTTTTTACGCAGCGTTGCCAAATGTTGACCGATTTACGTGAAAATAAAACTGGGGCTTGTTACCTTTATGGCAATCATAAATTTCACAAAATCTCAAAATTCAAAAATGTGTGGCTTGTTACCCTCTTCCCCCGAGCTCTTCAATTATACCATATTGTTTATGAATGATCGCTTGTCAAATTTATTTAATTTCGACATTGACTCACTGACAGATCACCAATATTCTAAGCTACTTCTAGACATAGATAAAAGAAAATAATCTTCTATTAAGATAGATATGAAACTTAATAGTAAAATTTTGGGTCAAAGCGCCCCTCCGTGTTCTTAGTAGGGACTACATTTAACCCAGCGCCTTCGCCTTTTCTTCTGTAAATGTTTTTTATGTTTATATTTGAATGGATTTATTTTTAAAGTTACACTGATATATTAGTATATCAGAGTAACTAATAAAACATAAGAATATTTATATATTTTACAGTTTATTAAAAATAAATTTTGACTACAAGGTGGAAAGTAAATCATAATATTTGATAAAACTTAAATCAAACTACGAATACATACCATATATTTTTCTTTTATCTAAGATATATACCTTATCGTCTTTTGGAAACACCTGCATTTTTGCAGTTTTGTTAGTTTCTTTGCAAGATACAACACAACAAGAAAACACCATTTTTACAGTTAATAAATAATATAACTATTTCTGACTATGATATTTAAAATTTAGATAGATAGAAAATTAAAAAACAAACCGGTATTTGCAGACGCAGGTTCATATTCAATAATAATCAACATTTTTCCTGCGAAAATCAGGCTTTTTTCACTGAAAAGGTATTTTTTTATTTATCAGCAATCATTGTCAAGTTGATATTTTACGGGGTGTTTTCGAATTAGTCTAAAAATTGTGGTGTGATTCTTCATGTGTTCTCAAAACAATTTTTATATAACCATTGGGTCTAAAGTACTTTCTTTCTGATCTCCAGGGTGTTAAAAATTTTAAAAAATCGATTCTTTTGCTTAACATAAATGGTACACCACTGCTTTTTTAAAGAAAATATATTTTTTTCTTGACTGGCCATCCTTTTTCAACAAAGTTGATCTTTTGAGTTTTTCTTGTTCATCAAACGGTTGTCGAGAAAAAATAAATAAACTTATTAAGAGCCCGCCTTAATCCGTTTTCTAACGATTTTTTATTTTTTTGATTAATTAGGAAACACCCTGTATATGCATATCACAGGCAACCAAATATACTAGTAACCTCTAAAAATTATTTTTCCTACCACTAGCTGTAACTTTTTTGCTATAGAAAATTTTGTATTTTTATGAAAACATTTCCAAAGCACCTTTTTACGTAGAATTTAATGGTTTAAGTATAGTTTTTTTAAAATTAATAATTTAAGAATTATCAACAGAAAATTTGATTTTTTATATGGGACACCCTATATATTTTTAATTTATTGAAAATAATTTAAAATTACCTTTCCAAAAATATAACACACTTGATATTTTGCTCGATTCCTCTTCGCCTCGAAAAATTTGCCTGCTTTAAATAAGTAGGCTTTGAACGGCACCGGCTGTAATGTAAAAAAAATCTAGCTGTGAGCATCAATTAAAACGAAAATAATACTTGCTATGAGAGATGCAGAATTTTATAACAATTTAAAATATATTTAACCAACATCAACACATTTAAACTATATCTAATAACAATAAAACTAAATAGCAAACCAACACATGAAATTTTGCTACAGGTGTTCGACATATCGACCGTCCTCTGTTAGTTATGGACAGACGGGGCAGTTTTTGAACATTTCTCGCGGAATTCATTAACTCAGTGGGAGTGAAAGATACCCTCTCATAACTACTAAGTATTTCTAATTCTTGTCTAGATTATACGGAAGAATAAGGAACCTTTATTCTTCCGCAAATATATCCATAGGATTAGATCTATGGGCACTAAGTCAGGCGGCCTCGACGGTCAACGGATGGGATCTTGGTTAGCTATTCAATTATTCTTGAAATTGGCTGCAAAAATTTGCTGATAACTTCAGCGTTCAGAGGCGGTGCGTCGTCTTGCTGGAAAAATATGTTTTCGAGTTCCATTAAGGGCATATCTTCAATAAGGGGTCCAAAGCCTACTAGTTAAAAGTGGCGAACTTTTAAAAATTCTCTATTTCGAAGGGGATTATAACAAAATATCAAGTATGGTATATTTTTGGAAAGGTAATTTTAAATTCTTTTCGGTTAATTAAAACTATAGAGGGTGTCCCAAATCAAAAATTAATTTTTCTGTTTATAACTCTTAAATTATTAATTTAAAAAAAAATATACTTAAACCATTAAATTCTAGGTAAAAAGGTGCTTTGGAAATGTTTTCATAGAAATACAAAATTTTCAATAGCAAAAAAGTTACAGCGATTTGTTAAAAATGCACATTTTTGAAAAACACCCCGTAACTCCGAAACGGTAACAGATATTGATGTGCGGTTTTCACCATCATGTTTTTGATGAAAATTGAGCTCCAGACACCGATATTAGTTTTCGTCTATCTCCTATAGAAAAGGGTGTTTCTATTTAAAAGTACCTCCTGTACAAATATCAATATTTTTTTTCAGATACACCTTTTGGAAAACTGCCAGTTCTTCAGATAGACGATCAGCAAGTACCACAAAGCAACGCCATAGCACGGTACTTGGCGCGTCAATTTGGTTTAGCAGGAAAGAGTGAATGGGATTCTCTCCAGTGTGATGTTTTAGTTGATACACTTGGAGATCTTCAAGAGAGTAAGTTATATTAACCTTACATTATGCATTGATGAATTTCTTACATTATCTTAATGGTAAAGTATTTTATCTCACCAATTTTTCAATAATAAGCATTGCAAAAACATATAAAATGTTAGTAAAATAATAATAAATAAAAGTTTGTACAACGAGCCAGGAAACATTTCGACAGATGCCATCCAAAAATGAAATTCAATTTGTAAGCGAACTAAAATGATAGACCACCGTCATTGATTTTGTCGATGGACAGATATTTTTGATTTTCACTCAGATTCTTTAAATAATATTATTAGATTTATGTTTCAAATTATTATAACGCAAAGATTCAATGTTTACCACAAGATTTATCATTGCTATCGATGACACTTGACAGACATTTTGAACAAAAATGGTTTTAAGCTTATACATGAAAACGTCTATGATCGAAACGTTGATATCATCTAATATACAATGGTTCTAAACTGGTTCTTCTAAATCAATATTATCTTTATGTTAGACGTATATTTACAGGTGTAATGAAGGTGATGAAAGAACCCGACCCAATCAAACGAGAAGAATTAAGAGCCAGGGTAACCAAAGAAGAACTGCCATTTTATTTATCGAAGTTCGAAAAATTAGTGGAAGAAAACGGCGGATTTTCAGTAGGATCCGAGGTAATAAGGATTTTTATAAAGTTTAAATAATACAGGGTGGCCCATCGAAAACGTTCCGCAAGGCATAACGGCCAGGGTAATTTTTTTTACAAAATTCAAAAACACGTGAATTTTGTTTGTGAGGGGGACAACTTTTGCCCCAAAAATGATTGCAAAATCTTCAACCCTCTAAGCGGTCTAACCCTCCACCATTTTTTTTTCAAATGGGAAGGGTGGTCAAGTGATACCGCAATGAAAAGGGCTTTCCATTCTCTATACTTTCCCGCTTCGTTTTTGAAAATCGGTCGAGTCATTGAGAAAAGTTGAAGGATTGAAATTTGAAAAGTTTATTTAAACATTTATCAGAGTAAATGATAATGATAAATTCCTTGGACCAATGTGCTGTTTTTTTTTATTATTTCTAGATGTTTACGTATTTTTTCACTTGGTCAGATCACATGAACGATCAGGTGCGGTCATTTTCACATGAACGATCAGGTGTGGTAGTTGCTAGATAGCTCTGACTTCTCTCTGACTTGTGCGTTGAAGTTCTTCTCAATATCGTTAAACATTTTAACAATTATGGTGTACTCACTTGCAGAAAAAGTGGAAATAATCGAACTTTATTTTAAAAATAACGAATGTGGCAATCGGGTTGCGCAGATATTCAATGAACGCCATCCTGGCAAACACCTTTATGGCAAAATCGTTCGCGAGTTAGTAGCAAAATTTCGCGAAACTGGTTCCGTTGTGAATAAAAAGAGGCAGAGGGAAAATCCTGTAGTAAATGAAGCTATGGAGGTATTCGTATTGCGCCAAGTTGCAATGGATAGTACGCTGAGTACAAGAAAATTAGCCAATGAGACCGGCGTGAATCGTACAAGTGTCCAAAGGATATTAAAAAAACACAAGTTCCACCCGTACAAAATTCAGTTGGTACAAGAACTCAACGAAGACAATTTTGATCGCCGTTTGCAATTTTGGGAAACTATGAGTGAACGAGTGGCGAATGATAATAATTTCCTATTTAATGTGTGTTTTTTCTGATGAGTGTACTTTCTTTTTGAACGGTGTAGTTAATCGGCACAACTGTCGGTACTGGGCTGAGGACAATCCCAGGTTTTTTCACGAGGTGCACACACAAAACCTTCAGAAACTGAACGTGTGGGCTGGTGTTTTTGGAAATTATTTTGTGTCTATCTTTTTTTCTTCCTCGAAATCTAACAGGTGATATATACTTGGATTTACTGGAAAATACCATCGACCTAGCCCTAACTGACATCATATAACTGACATCATAAAGAACAATCCTGGATACGTTGAGCGGAACTAAGCGGAACTAATATTTCAACAAGACGGTGCACCTCCACATTACTCTCAAAATGTGCGTAATTATTTAAACAATAACTTTCCCGGTCGGTGGATAGGACGAAGGGGTGCAATTGAGTGGTCTCCCCGGTCACCCGACTTGACTCCTTTAGACTTTTTTCTATGGGGACACATAAAAAGTAAAGTGTATAGCACTCCACCCGCTTTGCCTCATTAGAAGACCTGCGAAGAAGAATTATTGATGTTTGTCTCGAAGTGACACCGGAAGTTCTTCAGAATGATCGAGAACGGTTTGAATATAATTTGTATTAGTGTATGGAGGTTGACGGGCAATATTTTCAGCATTTGCTTCATTAATAAGGTAAGGTTTTTTTAATTAATTCAATTTGTGCGTTTTTTGCAAAAAGTACTTTTCAAATTTCAATCCTTCATATTTTCAAAATGACTCGACTGATTTTTAAAAACGAAGCGGGAAAATATAAAGAATAGAAAGCCCTTTTTATTGCGGCACCACTTGACCCCCATCCCATTTGAAAAAAGTTGACACCCCCGCTTAGAGGGTTGAAGATTTTGCAATCATTTTTGGGGTAAAAGTTGTCCCCCCCACATACAAAATTAACGTGGTTTGGGATTTTTTGAAAAAAAAAATACCCTGACCGTTATGCCTTGCGGAACGTTTTCGATGGGCCACCCTGTATAATATGGTGTTTTAAAAAAGATCTTCTTAGCTTCTTTGTTTATTTCCCGCTTTGATAGTTTTTGGTTGAAACATTTTAATTAATGTTTGAGGAAGAGTTTCAGTGAGGCATGAACAACTTTTGGACGTCATAGTAACTAGACAAAACTATTTGCATTTTAACTGCAGCGTCCTAAAGCTAATTATATTTTAGATTTACGCCACCCAGGGCAAGAAGCTTTCTAGGAACTCTGTGGGATTCTACATTCTTTGCTTTATCGTAGTTAATGAATCTCTATCTTTAGAATATACAAAGTAAATAGATATTGCCATATTTAGAGTTGAGAATTGTGACGTATTTTTTTTAAATACTCTGAAGTTTATTAAGTTTTATCCTTGTTTATATATTCTTAAAGTTGGTCGACCTATCGACAAAATGTGCTGCCTCTGGTGAAGAAATCGTAAAGCTTTAAAGGAATGAAGCATGTGATTAGGGACGGAGTCAAAAATATCGATTATTTGCGGTATTTCCCTCAGAGTAATGTAATAATATAGCTCGGATTTTTGCGAACTATAATATGGCTCAGCTGATTAAGAAATTTAAACAAAACTATTATTTCATTGTCGATTTTCGATTATTTATGCTGTTATTTTAAGGATTCTAAACCGTATTTAATAAAGAAATAACAATTTTTAATATGTTGGTACATTAATGCTAATTACTGGTAATTATTAATATTTAAAAAAAGTTACATACATTATTTCATTCTTCGATCATTTTATTCTAAATTGAGGTTTTACGAATTTAGATATTTTTTTTTGAAAACAAAACGTTTATACATTCTTGATTAATTTTTTTCTTAATTAAAAATAAAACTTGGTACTTGTTTCAATAATATTATTTGATATTTAAATAAATATTATGTACTTAATAAACCATTTAAATCTTTATTACACGAAATAAATCTTTCTTAGTGTAAAACATGGTCAGAGTCAAGTTTGCAACTTTTTTTATTAGTGGCAATTGAACAATACGGATATTTTGTTGTATGGCATATGACGTCACAGGCGATATGCCCAAACTGAACGAAATTGGAGACGGTATCGACCATACCTTGTTTTCAAGTTTTCTTTGTACCATGAGTAATTATATATCGAGAAACTATGGTTACGGCTCGTTGAATTTGAGACTTATGTCATTTTAATAATATATTTTCAAACTTTTATGCTTAGGCGTAAAGTGCTTTACTTTTATGCCTAGGCGTTAAAATGACTTTTTTATATTGTCAATGACGTCGCAAAAATTAATACTTTTGTGACGTTTGAAAAAAAAATAATATTTTGAAACTAACTGGTATATTTTTCTGCCACAACCTGTCACTAGTTTAATGAAAAATATACACCTTTGATTGAGCATTTTAAAGGGACACGATATTATATCTGCAAGGAAATGTAGATCATCCTTTTACAAATTATGCTAAAGAATTGCAATATAAAATTTGCTTTATAATATTAATTTATTTTACACACCTAGTGTACAGGGTGGTCTGAATCGTATTCTACCTTCGGCAGCATATTTCTGCAGATAAAAAAGTAAAAAAATCATCGATCTAGATTTTAACTAACTATCTGAGGAAGCTTAGTTTCGGAGATACAGGTAGAAATTTTATATTTATTTGATTTTTTCCAAGAACTTAATGTCAATATTGGTTTCTGTGGAGTTTTTGATATGAGAAATTTATTTTGATATCAATATGACTCCCACTTTCAGAAGAGAGCGTCACCTTACATATTTTTTATTTGGTTTGAAGAATATAGTATCTTTCCATCAGTACCTGTATAAAACTGAGTAAAATAGGATACTTTCCGCAATTTTTTACGTGTAAAAGGCCCTTGGTAAAAAATCGTTGCGAGTAATGGTTCTCGAAAATACTTACCTTCATACATATCATCATTGACATCAATTAAACATGTTGACTAGATAGTTATTTAACTGAAATATTTGAAATGTTTTTGGTAACAAAAGGTTCAACAGAAACTGTTTAGTCATAATTTTTGGAAGAAAAAATTATGAATAATTCAAACAATAAAAAGTAAGTTTTACCAAATTTATCATTTCAGTCAATACTCAACATTCTGAAATTTTTGTCTTGTCAATAATGACATGGATTGACTATTTCCATTATTTAGAATGATCTTGAAAAACCGTTGATCGTAGCGATTTTAACAAAGATGACTTTTGCGTAAAAATTACGGAAATGTATATTTTTGCTAGCTTTATACAGGAATTTTAAAAAAGATTACCTTCTCAAAGAAAGGTTAAAAAAAACATATAGATGGCGCTTTATAGAAACTCAAAACAACTAGGGAATCATATTGACATCGAAATCAAATTTGATTTGTCAAAAATACTCTGACACCAATTTTATCAAAATATCGACAATAGTTCAGGAATTCATTTGGAAAAATCCGAAATAAAATGAAACTACAAAGACCCTTGTACCTCACCACGTAGCATTTTTAAGACGTAAATTTATAGAAACTTTTTTTATTTATTTTATCTGCAAAATATGCTGTTTGAAGCTCCTAAAATATAATTTGGGACAAAAAAATGTTTGTTTTAGATAATTTTCGAGATATTTTTTCTTCTGAGTGCACATTTTAAAAGTATTTTATATTCTTGCTTGATCTATTTATACTGGTCGCACGTATCGAAGTTTTATTTTATAGTTTTAAAACACCATTTTCTTGTTTCTTTGTAGTTGTAATGTAAAATTAGATTAAGTTTACAAGTTTGATTATAATGTTTACTGTATACCAAAGAAATTTAGTAGTAATGTTTTACATTTTATTTAGTTAAGTGATAGTAGGTGAAGGGGTAATTTGGTTAATTTTTCTTTATGTTTGATTAATTAATAAGTTTGATAATTTGTTTAGTGTAGAATACAAGAAGTAGTTTGTGTAGTGTAAGAGATTATATTCATTTATTTTGTAGTTGAGTAGAAGGTGAAGGTATTTGGGTATTTTTTTCTTTTTGTTTTTCTTCTAATAATTATTGTAGTAGTTCTTTTAAATATTGTGATAGATACATTATAATCTTCCTTCTACTTTTCTGGTAGTTGAATATACGAAAAAAATCTGATCAAATTTATTTTAAATGAAATTAATCTAGTCTTATTAATTAATCAAATTAAACTAGTCAAATAATATTAATTGCAATCAATTATTAAAAAATATTAATTATTTTGGAAAATAACTTTTGAAATGGAGTATTATTGATAAAATTTAGCCAATTTTTTTACCCAGTAGCGTATTTCAATATGATCTTATCATTTATCACTGTATAATAACTTTGTTGTGGCAGAAAAATATACCAGTTAGTTTCAAAATATTATTTTTTTTTTCAAACGTCACAAAAATTAATACTTTTGTGACGTATATTCAACTACCAGAAAAGTAGAAGGAAGACTATAATGTATCTATCACAATATTTAAAAGAACTACTACAATAATTATTAGAAGAAAAACAAAAAGAAAAAAAAATACCCAAATACCTTCACCTTCTACTCAACTACAAAATAAATGAATATAATCTCTTACAAGAACACTACACAAACTACTTCTTGTATTCTACACTAATCAAATTATCAAACTTATTAATTAATCAAACATAAAGAAAAATTAACCAAATTACCCCTTCACCTACTACTTAACTTCAAAATAAAATATAAAAACACTACTAAATTTCTTTTGGTAGTATACAGTAAACATTATAATCAAACTTAATAAATTAATCTAATTTTACATTACAACTACAAAGAAACAAGAAAATGTTTTAAAACTATAAGAAATAAAACTTCGATACGTGCGACCAGTATAATAGATCAAGCAAGAATATAAAATACTTTAAAATGTGCACTCAGAAAGAAAAAATATCTCGAAAATTATCTAAACAAACATTTTTTTGTCCCAAATTATATTTGGGAAACTTCGGCAGCATATTTTGCAGATAAAAATAAATAAAAGTTTCTATAAATTTACGTCTTAAAATGCTTCGTATTGGAGATACAGGGTGTAGAAGTTTCATTTTTATTTCGGATTTTTCCAAATAATTCCTGAACTATTGTCGATATTTTTGATAAAAATTGGTGTCAGAGTATTTTTTGACAAATCAAATTTGATTTCGATGTCAATATGATTCCTAGTTGTTGGGTTTCTATAAAGCGCCATCTATATGTTTTTTTAACTCTTTTGAAGAGTAATAACTTTTTATTCGTACCTGTATAAAACTACTTAAAAAATATACATTTCCGTAATTTTTTACGCAAAAAGTCATCTTTGTAAAAATCGCTACGATCAACGGTTTTCAAGATCATTCTAAATAATGGAAATAGTCAATCCATGTCATTATTGACAAGACAAAAAATTAGAATGTTGAGTATTGACTGAAATGATAAATTTGGTAACTTACTTTATTGTTTGAATTATTCATAATTTTTTCTTTAAAAATTATGACTAAACAGTTTCTGTTGAACCTTTGTTACAAAAACATTTCAAATATTTCAGTTAAATAACTATCTAGTCAACATGTTTAATTGATGTCAATGATGATATGTATTAATAAGTATTTCGAGAACCATTACTCGCAACGATTTTTACCAAGAGACCTTTTTTACACGTAAAAAATTGCGGAAATGTATATTTTTTTACTCGGTAGTTTTATACAGGTACTGATGGAAAGATACTATATTCTTCAAACCAAATAAAAATATGTAGGTGACGCTCTCTACAAGTGGGAGTCATATTGACATCAAAATTAAATTTCTCATATCAAAAAACTCCCAGAAACCAATATTGACATTAGTTCAGAAGTTATATTTGGAAAAAAATCAAATAAATATAAAATTTCTACCTGTATCTCCGAAACTAAGCCTTTTAGACATTAGTTGAAATGAAACGAATGATTTTTTTTACTTTTTTTTATCTGCAGAATATGCTGCCGAAGGTTTCCGAATACGATTCAGACCACCCTGTACACTAGGTGTGTAAAATAAATTAATATTATAAAGCAAATTTTATATTGCAATTCTTTAGCATAATTTGTAAAAGGATGATCTACATTTCTTTGCAGATATAATATCGTGTCCCTTTAAAATGCTCAATCAAAGGTGTATATTTTTCATTAAACTAGTGACAGGTTATTACAAATAAAATATAAATACTTTATACCTAATATTTTATATTAATAAATTAATTAAAAATAAAATAAAAAATTTATAACAATATATAAAATACCTGAAAATCAAATTTTTTCTTAATACATATATCCTGACAATTGATTAGAAAATACAATTCAATTATTAAAATAAAATAACAAATAACATTTCAAAATTTAATATTAAAATTCAATAAATTTTAGATTATTTAAAAATAATTTAATAAATATTTTTATACAGTGTGATTCATAAAATCCACATCAAATTAGAACCATGTTCATTAGTTACTTGACTTGATTTTTGCTATTTTTAAAATGGCATATGTATTGACAATCATACGACTTTAGAGGCTCTAGAGTTATAATTTTTTTAGTATATATAAAGATATATAATAAAACATTTATAATTAATAAATACGACAGTGATAAATATTTAATAATAAATACAATTATTATGAAGTAAATAAATAAAAAAACGCTGGGAGGCACGTATTGCCGTCCATACTAAAATATGTTAATAAAAAGTTGGTAGGCAGTTCTTTTAGTTTAAAAGTAAAGGAATTTTTCAAATTTTGGTCCGCGGTTATTTCCCCCATCCGCCAACTGGGGTCGCGTCCGATGAGAGTTTGGAGTTCTCCACACGGATTTTCTCAAAAACGAACTACGGAAACACGGAATATTTCAAAAACTGCGACTTTGACTGATTTTGATGTTATTAAAAATTTTGTTGCAAATATTCCTAATCTTAAATTGAAAACCGCGTTTCGTTAGCTACTGTAATTTTGAAATTACGATTTTTTAAAATTTTTAACCCCTCCCATGCCCCCTTACCAACCCCTCACCCCCATTCTAATGGCCAGATTCTCGGGTGCCACAATATTTTTGCGCCAAATTTGGTTAAAATCGGTTTACCGGTTTTTGAGATATCGTGTTACAGACGGACAGACAGATAGACAGACAGACAGACACCATGAAAATATTTTGAGAAAAATTAAAAAAAAAAAAAATTTGGCCGATCTTAATAACCTACCATACTTGTTGGTATGGTAGTTGTATTTGATATACGTGTAGAACCCCTATGCACGGACATTATAGTCATGGTAGTATATAACAAATGTCTTGTTGTATTATACTTATACAGGGTGATTCAGATTTTACTAGAATAACTTCAGATATCGAAGAACTAACCGAAATAATGATAGTTTGTATTATAAACCATACTCCAAAAACGCTTCCGCTTGGAGTAAAATGGTGCCAAAATTTGAATTGTTTTTCGGTTTTTATTTTATTACTCGTAAGCCAGAGGATCTAAATACGCAAGTGTTCGGTTAAATGCTAAGGGCAATGTGGCCGATATGTGTGAAAAAAATTGGATTAATTGCTATACAGGGTGTTGTTTTTGTGAGTGTCAACTGCACGGAACCTTGTAGAACTTTTTTGTCGCACGCCACTGGATAATTTTGTATATTTTTCTGATACCTTCCGTCTTTTTACTAACTTTTCTTGTTCTTAAATTTTTTTGATATGTCGCTTAGTTTTCGAGATATTCCACAAAATTCCGGACATAGTTCAGCTGCGTTCGAAAAATGTTACTTAATTAGCAGCATGCCTTGGAGAACTTAATTCAAATTTTGGCACCATTTTACTCCAAGCGGAAGCGTTCTTGGAGTATGGTTTATAATACAAACTATAATTATTTCGGTTAGTTCTATCGATACCTGAAGTTATTCTAGTAAAATCTGAATCACCCTGTATAATTTTTAAATAACTGCGCAATCTCAAATCTTCATCAACAATCACGTTGTAGTTAAACTTGAGGTTAGTGATGAGCAAGACTATAAAAACTTCCAAGGTTAACTACTAATTGATGATAAACCTGAACCTCTCTCTCTTCTCTCTCCCTACAAAACTAGCCCCAAACTAAGTGAATACTTTCTATTGTTTAGGTAACTTGGTCAGACTTGGTACTCGCCGTACTGCTCGACCAGTTTGAAGGGATGTACGGCAAGGGCGCCCTAAACGGCTACCCGTCGCTCAAAGGACTAAAGGACCGCATCCACGAAGTACCGAACGTCAAAGCGTACCTGGAAAAGAGACCGCCGAGGTCGCCACTGCCGCGACAGTAAGGCGGTCACGTTGGTGTTAAGTCAAATTTTACACAAGTATTATTTGTTTCCGTATAAAAATAACTGTCAATGAGTTGAATACTGTTTTTGAAATGTACTGCCGTATGTTAACACCAATACAATGAAGTTGAATATGAAATATATTTTATTATAAATTTTATTCTATCGGTTTTAGTTATTCAAGAGTATTATTATTAATATACAGGGTGTTTCAAAACAAATGCGAAAAACTTCAGGGGGTGATTCTTTGTTCAAAATAAAGGGTAATTTGCTTTATAAACGTTGGGCCAAAAGTCAACCATTAGGGAGATATTGCGGTACAAAGATGGCGGAAAAATAACGTTTTTATTTTTTATCTTGAAAACGAAAAGAGATAGACTAATAAAATTTTATGGAAGCATTACTGTTATGAAAACACACTTTCTGGTAATTTTTTCACTTTTTTAAAATGAGTGGAAGGAGTTGAAATAAACTACCCCTATCATTCTTGTTAACGAAATTTAAAGAAAAATCTTATCAAACACATGCAAAAAAATTAATTTGGATAGTTTAGTTCGTTTAGAAACTTTTTTATCTCTTGTATTTTTTTGATAAAACTCACCGATTTGAAATTAAAAAATAAAATGTAAAGCATTACATGTCAGGACAAAAAACAATTTCTGATAAAGAATCTAGTGGGCTGCTGTAATTTTTTTAGGAAAAAATCTAGTCGGCCGCTGTTACTTTTTAGGATGTTCCTAATATTATTTTATTTGACATTACTCTACTGCAATACGTTATTATCTAGATGATTATTATTATCGTTATTATCACTAGATTCTTAATCTAAAAATGTTTTTTGTCCTGACATGTAATGCTTTACATTTTATTTTTAATTTCCAATCGGTGAGTTTTATCAAAAAAAACACAAGAGGTAAAAAAGTTTCTAAACAAACTAAACTATCCAAATTAAAGCATTTGCATGTGTTTGATAAGATTTTTCTTTAAATTTCGTTAACAAGAATGATAGGGGTATTTTATTTCAACCCCTTCCACTCATTTTAAAAAAGTAAAAAAATTACCTGAAAGTGTGTTTTCATAACAGTAATGCTTCCATAAAATTTTATTAGTCTATCTCTTTTCGTTTTCAAGATAAAAAATAAAAACATTATTTTTCCGCCATCTTTGTACCGCGATATCTCCCTAATGGTTGACTTTTGACCCAACGTTTATAAAGCAAACTACCCTTTATTTTGAACAAGGAATCACTCCCTAAAGTTTTTCGCATTTGTTTTGAAACACCCTGTATATCTGTATAATATTAGTAGGAATTTTTAACACAAATCTTGATAAAAATCCTATTTCTGTGTTATATAAACCAATGGCAGCTTATGACAGTTACAGAAATTAACTGTTACTCCTCTTACTGTCTGTCACAAATTCAAATTCTTTCGTCGGATAGACTAAAGGATAGACTATATTTATTTAAGACTATGTTATGGTATATCTGTGGCATGTTCACTATGTTATCAAATTTGTTATTCTAATAATTATTATCTAAAAAAAGTATTATTCGAATTCACAAATATATAAATTTTATAATGAAATAATAGTTATTTTTTATACAAGACGATAAAATGGTATTTTATCGTCGATCGAAAAGATTAATTAATTTCGGGAGACGATAATGCAATTTAATCGTCGTGTATAAAACAATATTTTTTTCCATAGCGAGTTACGTTTTAAAAAATATTCAGAAATTATTATTTCAAGGAATTTAATATGAGTAGAAAAAATATTGTGCTGGGTTGGCGTTGCTTTCTATGTAATTTGACTAATAAATAAAGCTGTCTCTTTAGTTGTCAGTTTTGAGTCAATCTTTTTTAATTCTCTTTCGTGCCGATTGCTGATTGAATTGGAGCCAGAAATGGCTCAAAACGAAATAAGTAAATTACCAACTGATATGCAGGCTGAGGCGACAAACGCCATATCCAAACTACTTCCATTTAAATCCCGAATAACTTATGAAAAGGAATACAAAAATATTCAAAAATGGAAGCAATTAAAAAACGTGCGAGAAGAAATAAAGCTTTTAACCTATCTTCGCTGTTAAAGTATCATTTAATCTACCCTTGCGGTTAAAGTACTATTTTATCTACTATTTTTGATAGATACGAGTATAAGACAATTTTAACAGTTGCTATGGAAAAAAATATTATAGCCCTTCCTCTATGATAGAGTGCAATCTATAGAATTTGTTAATGAGTGAGAGAATGAGATGATCAAGACAACTCTAACAGTATTTCACTAAATGTTAAAAATTAGTTTAATCTTTGCTCTAAATATTGCTCTAAATATCTGTTATGGTTGGAAGATTGTGATTCAAAACTACCAACTTACAAATTAAGAAAACAAGTGAATTTCTAAATCAACTGTTGTACTGAAAAAAAAATTATCCAACTTATTTTTAGTTTTGTTTTGTCATTTTAAAAATTTTCATAATCATATTACAAAATTAGGTACCTGCCCATGTAATATACAATAAAAATATCGACAATTCAATTAAAATTTAGTTCTAGCTACTGTGGTAGATCATATTCTCAATAAAATATAGACAAAACATAAATTTATAAGAACATCTGATATATTTAAGTAGAGAGAATAACGGAATTGTCTGCATTTAAGTAAAAAAAAATAACTAAAGTTATTCTATTAAGGCCACAACAAAAGAAATATATTATTTATAATACGTTTATGGTTTTATTTTTTTAACTTTTATAACATGTATGTGCTGTAAACTTAAATATAGATAATTTTTAGCAATACATTATTCTTCATAAAGTGAAAACACAGCTTATTCAGGACCAGCCGGTACATAATTTTCGATTGTTTTTGAGTATTCGCGTTTTACCTGCTGCGCCTAATTGTGTACGAATGTGTACTCAAATTCGACGCTCATCATTGGGATTTCTGAAACCGTAAGAGATACAGGATCCGTTAAATGGAGGCAAAGTTGCGCAATTTGATGCTCAATAAAATGCCGTATTGCATTTTGAAAAATTCCGAATATATTCGAAAAAAAAAACGGAATTTTCAATTTTGTTTTCTATTGTTTCCTGGCTTTATTTGTTAAGATAACTTAAAATGAAAAACACATTTTTATGGCCACTTTTTCTGCTTTATAATTCTGTGTGATTAAATATTGACTCTGACGTTTCGGCTTCTGGAGACCATCATCAACTTAATAATAATAATAGCTCCCGCATATAGCGTTTAACGCCTTGGGAGTAGCAAGGTACAGCTTGCCATGCTAGAGCCGTTCGGTATACAAGGAAGGTAATGTGGCTAGCACTACGCTTCAACCGCCTATTATTACCTCAGGATTGTGAATCCCAAGTACTCATTTAAGGCTGAGTCGACCTAGGTACCCAAACTATTTTTATTTTATTAAAAATAGTCGGCTGATGCAATGCCGGGTGTGGGATCCAACCATCATCAGCTTAATTTTTTTAAATACGGACCTGATTTTTTTTTCAATTTAATTAAATCCTTTCATCACTCTTAAAACACTATATATAGTCACTTTGATATTTGCCGACGTTTCGTACAGAAAATTCCATCACCAGAATATTTTATACAAAAAAAATAAAAACAAAAATGCAATACGGCATTTTATTGCGCATCAAATTGCGCAACTTTGCCTCCATTTAACCGATCCTGTATCTCTTTCGGTTTCCGAAATCACAATGATGAGTCTCGAATTCGAGCCATCCTGTACACAGTTTCGATCGTTTTTATGAAAGATTATCTGGGTAGTAGGTATGCAGATTTCCATGAAAATGATCTTTAGTCGACAGGCTGGTTATAAATAGGCTGTGGTGAAAATATGTAATAAAACCAGTTTAAATAATTGAGCACAAAAAATTTTTTAGTTTAATTTAGATAAGTTTTTTTTTATGTTTTTAAATAATAGATACTATTTGGTTCTTTTTGTTTGACAGTTATTTTTATAAAAATTGTGATTTATGTACCTATGTCAACAACTTATTCAATACTCAGCTTGATAATTTAGCTTGTTTTTAAAGGTCTGACGTATCACTGCTGCGCATATACACTAAATAATGAACATCTTAAAATTTTCTTGTATTTTAAAGTTCGATTTTGATGATATTTAGCAATTTTTAAAACATTTTAGATTATTTGACTTTTTAGCCTCTTTCCAGGGTTCCATCTATATATTAGATTAGATAAAACAAAATTTTGTTATTTTGGCCAAAGTTTGAAACGCCCCCTGGAATGATTTATCGAAATAAGGAGTTTAGTAAACCACTCTAACATGAAAGTGCCTATTTTGTCAATAATCTGTTTTTTGATTCAACTTAATGGCTATTTTTTTGGTGGAGATATTCGCGTTTAAAGAAGGCTGTAACAATTAATAACATTTTTATTAATACCGGTTGCGTCTCAAAAGTGGCTCACCTCTATAACTTTTTTATTTTTTTCAGATAAAAAAAAACGAGATTTGGTTTGTTAGTACATGACATAAATTAGGATTGATTGACGTATTCAATTGTTCTTGGTTACTTCCTGTTTCACCGGAAATGCGTACTTAAAAGCTTCAACTATTGATTTTTAAATGACACTCACGGTATATTTCTACTTTATTCGATAGAAAATGACACTCTGAATAGAATGACATATCATATGTCAACTTTTGACATTTTCGCTTAAAAAAATCGTATTTTAAATTTCAATCTAGAGTACCATGGCGGTGTTAAAAACATTAATTTTTAATCAGGGACACTTGGAAAAATAAATTTGATCGTCTAATATTTTTCGTGTTTTGTCTTGGCCGGTTAAAAGATGCCCAAATCTCACATTTAATCATATTTCAATTTTTTCAAATGGAACAAGGGTAGCTCATTAGCATATTTGGAAACTTTGTCTCTTTATCAAAGAATAATATATGACCTTTCCATGACAGTGACCTTAGAAAAACAATAAACACTATCTACATATTTCATAGGTGTGTTGAAGAGGACCACAAGCATAGGCATATTGTCTTCTTCAAAAGCAGCGAATATCTCCAATAAAATAAAAAGCTATCAAGATGAATCAAAAAAATAACTATCGAGAAAAAAAAATCAACTTCATGATAAAGTAGTTTTTAAATTCATTACTTTGTTATACAATTCAACCAGGGTGTTTGAAACTTTTGCTAACATAACAACATTTAATTTTTAAATTAAAAGGGCTAAAAAGTCAAATAATTTATCTAAAAAAATATCAAAACCGACCCACTAGAGCAAAGTATATTGAACTATAAAATACATAGCAAGTACAATCATGTTATAATCATATAATTGTGTAAACGTGAATAGTAAGTAAACAATCTCTAACAAATTATTTAGGTGAGTATTGAGTAGGCTTTATTTTGTGCGACTTAAGTTATGTAGAGCAAGATATTTACATAAGGAGTCTCATCATCGAGCTCTGGGTTGTTTAGACTTTAGGTAAATGCATATATAGGATAAGCAGGTATTTTATCAAAGATTAAAACTCAAAAAGATCAAATGAATCACTGTATACATAATATAAATATTTAAATAGAAAATAAAGTTGATTGATGTTGGTTCTATGTATTTTTATTTCAATTCATATTTAACTAACTATATCGGATCCATCTCGGAAAATTTAGTCCAAACATAAGGAAGATTTTGTTGATGTTTGGCCACCAAAATCTTAAAAATAAAGAAGTTGTCTAAAAATGTGCTACAATACGGATAAAGTATAATTTTTTATCTTTAATTTCCTTCTTCATTTGTGTAAAAATACCTAGCCAGTTTTACATAAAACGTTAAATGCCGAACGCTTATTTTGCTAGTTTTTGGACTAGTGAAATGGACTCTTACAGCGCTTTCACATGCGACGGACCGTCCGTTGTGTTTTTTCAAGATAGTCGTCGGACAAACTCCGTCGGACGGAGCATACGCGCCCATGTGAAATTGTTCATATAAACTCATGGTACTTGCTCGAAGTTGCGGACGCTCCGCTCCATCTGAAAGCGCTGTTACAGCGTTTTCACATGCGACGGACCGCCCGTCGTGTTTTTTCAAGATAGCCGTCGGACAAACTCCGTCGGACAGACATACTGCGCTGTTCATATAAACTCATAGTACTTGCTCGAAGTGCGGACTCCGCCAATCTGAAAGCGCTGTTACAGCGTTTCACATGCGACGGATGCCCGTCGTGTTTTCAAGATAGCTGTCGGACTCCGTCGGACGGAGCATACGCGCCCATGTGAAATTGTTCATATAAACTCATGGTACTTGCTCGAAGTTGCGGACGCTCCGCTCCATCTGAAAGCGCTGTTACAGCGTTTTCACATGCGACGGACCGCCCGTCGTGTTTTTTCAAGATAGCCGTCGGACAAACTCCGTCGGACGGAGCATACGCGCCCATGTGAAATTGTTCATATAAACTCATGGTACTTGCCTGAAGTTGCGGACGCTCCGCTCCATCTGAAAGCGCTGTTAAGGTGCCGTTTTTTCCAGGGTAAAAACTACTAATATTTTATATCAAAAATAGAGAATAAATATTTCTAATAAAAACAGCTATTTATTATAACTATGTATATTTAAAACGTATTGAGCAATGAGATATAATTTAACATTCTTTTTCTATTTTACATACATTTACAAAAATGTCAGGAACACTAAAAAATATCATAAGAATAAGAACACACATTAATAATAATACAAAGAAACAGTAAAACAAAAATAAAATAAATAGAAGTTAACATACAACTATGTCTTTTTATATTATAGTGTGTAACATACTACATACTTAATTATAAAGAAAATGCAAACAAATTTTACCACAGTCAAAGCAAGATGGCTACGCCATCCCTGATGTGCTTAGTACAATAATTTTTATATTTTCTTAAAACTAAACAAACACAGAAAAAATAGTTTATATTTTTTTCGGAGTTTCAGGCACACTGGTTATTTCTAGTTGAGATTGCTTTTTCTAAATATAAAACTTATAACAATTTATAAATAATTCTATATCAAAATAAATAGTAAACAAATAAAAATGCACTTTTAAACACATCGATCACAGCTGAAAATAGTCTCTTAGCTACAGGAACTTCCCAAGTTGAACAAGTATCAAACTACCTGATTCTCAGGTACACTAATGGATTTCCTCGATCGTATCGATCCTCTGTTGATCATGCTTGATCTGATTTCACCTCTGATCGAGGCTCTGATGGAGTGTCGGATCGATGTCGATCGTTTGAATGATTCTGTTTTCGTTGGTTTCGATCTGAAACAAGGAGCACAAAATAAAAATAGGATACGGTCAAAAATAAATGGTCCTACAGTTGCTTTAGAAATAAAAATAAATAAACTAGTCAAAAAGAATTAGGGATCACTTTGATAAAAAATATCGTTTAGACAAAAATACATATTTATTTAAACATACAGGGCGAGTCTTAAATAAGTGCAAATATTTTCAGGGCTGGTATATTTCGACCCCAGGAACACGTCTATGAGGCTTTTTTTCGCAAAAAAATATTGAAAATCGTGCATTTTCTTTTAAATTTCCCTGTATATTTTTCGAAAACTTTTTAGAACTGCCTGTTCACCGCAAATTTTCCCACGGTATAATTTCTTAATCTCTGATATTACCATAGTTACAGCTTAACTCTATGGTTACCGCACTAAAAGGGATGCAAATACAGAAAAAAATCCGGTGGCTCTCAACATTTTTCCAAAAAAATCATTTTTTTTAATTTTCAAACTTAAATAACTCGTTTATTTTGGACTTACGTGAAAAATGGTAAAGAGCAAATATGATTCTTTTATCGAAACCTACCAGCCCTGAAAATATTTTCACTTATTTAAGACTCACCCTGTATAAACTTAGCAATATGTTCCTTAAGAATTAAGTTTGAACGTAGTGTATGCGCCTGTGTTCATGGCGAAAAAAGTTGTCAAACTGCTGAAAATTGTATTTTGATTACGTTATGAATGACTACAATATGTATCGAAAACAATGCTAAATTTTTTTTATCTTAATTGTCAACGAAAATATTTTTTTTTTCTAATGTGTGTGCTCCGCGGTTTCTACGCACTTCTACACACCGATTTGTCATAGAATGAATGAAGCTCCAAATAATCTCTTGAGGAAAGGCGTTCCACTCCTCCCGAAGATTTTCTCCCAAAGTTTGAAGATCTGGTGCTTGTGGACGACTTTGCAGTCTTCCCTTTAGTAGGTCCCAAAGGTGCTCAATAGGACTGAGATCAGAGCTATTAGCAGGCCAATCCATAATTGTTCTACTGGACTCTTCAAGGCATCGAGTGACCAACTACTCTTGCAGTATGAGGTCTGGCATTATCCTGTTGTAAGATGAATTCTGGACCATACTGAGCTGCAAATGGAATAACATATGGTTCCAGAATCTCATCTTTGTATCGTTCAGGATCATTTATGCCGTCTAGAAACACATGCAAGTCCGTACGCCCATTTAAAGTTATACCTCATCATACCATGACGAAACCTCCATCAAAATTAATCGCTTCTCTGACTGTTGTGTCCAGATACCAAGACGTCCAAAGACGTGCCTCCACTGATCCACGACCCAGTGAAGATAATCTTGAGCAAATATCTTTCGTACCCTACGATGATTAGCAGTTAAACGCTGCACAACAACTGCTTGCCTTGATCAAATGTTAAGTTCATGCAGCCTATTTCTTATAGTTTGAGTTGAGGTTCGAGTTCCTCTGGCGATCGTAAGAAGATTTTGCAAGTTCTTTACGGTAAGTGTTCTTTTAGAAATAGTGGCTTGAACAAGATATCGATCTTCCCGCCTCGATGTTTCTCTTACTCGTTGAGGATATGGTATACAGACAACAAAACCATATTCTCTGTGTCGGGTCCATAGTCTGGAATTGTGTAATATGAAAAAGCTGCTGCACTTATCGTTGCGACCGACCCTCCTGCAATAAAGTTGTGGCTCTGATGACTTTTTCAGTATTTAAACGCCGTTTGGTCTTCCCAAGACATTAAAATTTCTCATATTTAATACCAATTTTGACAATCAAGAAGGCAAAATCATATTAAATTAGAAACTGATTTTATGGAATTTCTGCGTTTTCGAGTGCGTCTTTATTTTTATTTCTTATGACGGAAAATAATTTAGTTTTTGTCTCAATTTATGCATGAAAATAAACAAAATTGTTCTGATTATATGCTGCTATAAACATATGGAGATCGGTGTATAAAGATAGTAAATACAGGGTGTTTCAAGAACATGTGCCATCTCTCGTGGGGAGATTCCTCCTCCAAACCAAACCAAAAAAATTATTTTTATTTAAATTTTATTAATTGTGATTAATAAAATTGGTTTTATCTCATCAAGGGGGCCGAATTGGACAAAATATCAAGAGATAACTTTTAATTGGCATTAAATGGCTTACACAATTTTGATATCAAAAGAAAAAAATCAGTGGTCCATATGTTTTTTTTTTAATATTCCAATGATAACCCATATGCACGTCCCTGATGAATCTATTGCCACTTTTCTAGCATTAAAATATGTAACACTTATAGTAACTTTTACCCCCAAAATTTCATTCAAGTCGCTTCTTGGAAGAAAATTATAATAAATCGAAAGATTATTAAGACTTTAACACCCTGTAGTTACGAAACAAAGCAGAAACGGACCTATGTTGATATGAAAAATAAATCTTAGAGCGCTCTCTCACGGGTCGGTATGGTTTCGACGCGGTAAGTACACGGTAAATGTCGTATCGATTCTCTGCAGGCCAGTCTCGCACACGGCCTCTGCATATTGACTGCGCCGTCGAAACAAACAACATGTCTACGTCTCTTTGAATAAGAAGACTAAGGAAGGAGCATAATGCTATCCATGTATTCATGCATGGTGGGCGGAAAAGCCACCATAAAAGCTCTCTAGGGTGGGGATCCTTGACAGTTCTGTTTGACGATTCATTTGACACATTTGAATTTGATTTGAAATTTTGTGGATTTGTCAGTCTTTACGGAGCTTATTTTATGTTATTTATTATTTATTCTACTACTGATAGTTGTATAAAGGTAGTAAATCTAGATGGAAATTGTGGCAGAACTTAAATTAACAGTGACACTATCGCGATTTATCGAAAAAGACTCTATATCTGCGATAGATCTCGACAAAAATTGAGTGAAATAATGGAACAACTTTTCGCTAGTAAGTGACTATATAATATACATACGTGTAGTAAACCGATCATTTATGAAATTCACTTAAATTAACTAAATTATATAGTTTTCTTGCATTTTAGCTTTTATTTATTACTTGTCAAAGATTAGATGTCAAAGAATTTAGATACGTTAATTTGACTTACCTGCTTCAGTAGCGTATCGGATGTTTGTGTTAATAAATACTTATTATAACTTATCTATTTTTATTAGAATTATATATTTTTATAACAATTTTAATAACTACCAACATTTATTCACAACGTAAAATAAAACAACAAATTATTGAGTCTACCCCACGTCTACCCTACATCATAGTTTTACATTTTTTAAATAAAATTAGAACGACACTGATAAACCGGAATTTAAGTCGGCCATATTTGAGGCCCATCGCGGTGTACCTAAGATTTTTGATATGCTCCTTCCGTAGTCTTCTTATTCAAAGCTACGTCTAGTGAGTCGAGTGACCAAGATATTATTGTAATCTACAATTATTTAAGAAGACGAAGAAGAAATAGATTCTGGGTGCATCCATATCTTGAACGCCATTATGGTAGCAGGTTATTTATAGCAGCGAGGGAGTTGAGCGAAGATGACGGCAAATTCAAGGCAATGTATAGAATGTCAAAACCTACATTTCTAGAACTAGTCAGACTCGTTAAGCCACTGATAAGCAGACAAAGTACAAACATGAGGGAGTGTGTACACTGAACCAAAAGTCGACATAAATATAATGAAAAAGTTCATTAATATAATGAATTAAATCATTAATTTTGAGCCGATGAACGGTTTCGTTCAATTGCAACTTTGAGTATTCTGGTAATTTAAAATTATACAGCATAGGATATTTCTCTATTTCCTTAATAAGTTTATAATATATCTCGTTCAACTATTTTGACGGTAAAAAACAAAATATTACAGCCTGCAAATGTCACGACGCGACTGACTGTTGATGTTGCACGCTGGCATACCGAGAACAAATCGCCCCGCGTCCCTCCGCACAGACCCGTGTGCGAGCGCTGATACAATATGCATAGAGCAACAACCAATCGGCATGCTGCACGCGTACCGAGTGCGGTTTTTGCTTGACGCTTACCGACCCGTATTATTTTTACGCGAGGAATCTCCCCACGAGTGATGGCACATGTTTTTTGAAACACCCTGTATATTATGTGATCCCTAATTCGTTTTGATTAGTTCATATTTTTTTCTTACTAACAGCTCTATGGTAAGAAGAACTGTGAAGTGGACAGTGACAACTGATCTTATATTATTATCAAAATGTAAAATTTCAAACATCAAAATAATTTTACATTAGTACTTACTTATTGATACAAGGGAAATCCCATATTTTCTGATTAGCGCCGAAATTCTCGCCATCTTGTAGAGTCTGTGGTAATTCTTGATCTAACGTTTCAGGCAAGAACAGAGCTAGGATACCTCCAACTATGCCCAACACTCCAAGAATGAGTAATGGAAACGCTAGGTCGATATTTGCCTAAAAAAAGATTAAGAGAATTTTATAAATGTTGTTGTTATACTGAAGTAAATCAAATTTTTACCAAGTATACTACAAATGGTGCTACTATGCTCGCTACGTAGCCCATTATGTGTATCAGGGCAACTCCTTGAGCTCTTACAACAGTTGGTAACAATTCCGCAGCGTATTGTAATCCGATATTGTATGAAATGTTAACTGCAAATCGGCCGCATATTGCCAAAGTAGCTGAGGGTATACCTAAAAACAACAAAATATGTGATTATATTAAGTATTATTAGCGTGTATTAAATATTAATAAGTTAAGAATCAGTATGAAGTAGAGATGAGTAAAACTCGAAAATTGAAACTGCGATTGCGATTTTTAAATCGCTGCGACTGTAAACTGCGATTGCGATTTTAATATTTAAAAAGTGTACCTACTAGGTATACGGCATAGAGGTTCGCTGTTATGTATGGAAATGGTCGTTTTTTAGGTAAACTATACAAGGTACCGCAAAAAGTTAAATACAAAAATTATAGGGATTTTAAATGTCTATTGGCGAGTAATAAATTTATATACACAGGGTTGATCATGAAGTCGTGGCACATCAAAGTTTCATTTTTTTAAATAGAACCCCCTGTATATTATCGCATATTTCAATTCTAAGCAAAAATCAAGATACACACAATGTACCCCAAACCCGTTTCCGAGTTAATGACTTCTGAAAATATCACTTAAACAATTTGATTTAATTAATTTCGATATGTTCAGTTTCATTTAACGATGCCATTTTGCCGAAACTGTAATACTTAATAATATATGACATTAGTTCTCAAGTTAGCATTTATAGATGTATAAAAGTTCTATTCAGTAGGGTAGCTGAATAAGGCAATAAAGCAAGAAGCAAGAAGAGACAAACAACAATTTTACTCTGATAGATGCAAAGAAATAGAGGGACATAGTCTAAATAACCAACCAAGAGACCTCTTCAAAAAAATAAAATATATTACCAGGGACTTTAAAGCCAGAAATTGGGCAATCGAAGATCAAAATGGAATTTTAAGAACCAAAAAAGAAGACATTATTCAGGTGTGGAGATCATATTGCGAAGATTTATACAAAGACAGTGAAGAATATAACTATGTCGACTACCACGAAAATTCAGAGAAAGAACCGGACATCCTTAAAAGTGAAGTTGAATTGGCCATAAACAAATTAAAATACCATAAAGCACCAGGTTCAGACCTAATGACAGCAGAAATAATAAAAGCCGTTAAAGAACCTGGATTAGAAATGCTTCATCTGATCTGTAATAAAATATGGCACACAGGAGAATGGCCCGACGACTGGACACACTCCACCATTGTCACTCTCCACAAGAACGGGAGTATACATAAGTGCAGCAACTATCTTACAATTTCCCTCGTCTCACATGCCAGTAAAGTAATGTTGCAAATTATAAATGAAAGACTGAAAGCTTTTCTAGAAAGAGAAATTCCAGCAGAACAAGCAGGTTTCACCAAGGGCAGAGGCACTCGGGAACATCTTCTGAATATGCGCCAAATCATAGAGAAAGCAAGGGAATTCAACATCTCTCTTTATATTTGTTTCGTAGACTATAAAAAAGCTTTCGATAAAGTCAGATGGCATCACCTGTGGAAAATCTTAAAGGAAGTGGGGGTACCGCAACACCTTATTTCACTTATCATTCAGTTGTATCAGCACACTACAGGATCAGTTAGAATACTGGATTCAGCTTCAAAGGAATTTTCCCTCGAACAAGGAGTCAGACAGGGGTGTATATTGTCTCCTCAACTATTTAACATATACGGAGAATACATAATGAGAAGGTCGCTAGAAACATGGGAAGGAGGCATTTCAATAAATGGCCAAAAAATAAATAATCTACGCTTTGCAGATGATACAGCACTACTCGCTAACAGTCAAGAAGAGTTAATCAATTTAGTAAATAGATTATATAAGAAGATATATATATAAGAGATCGATGCTACCGAGATGTATTGTTATAGACGTATGCTCCGTATCCCATGGACTGAACGCCGTACAAACGTTTCCATTATAAATGAACTTAATATTACTAACAGGCTTTCCTGTAAAATCCGACTAAAACAATTAAAATATTTTGGACATATAATGAGGAAAAGTCCGGACAATATGGAAAGACTCATAATTCAAGGCAAGGTGGAAGGACGTAGACCACGTGGCCGCTCTCCAACTCGATGGATAGACCAGATCACGACTAGCTGTAGCAAGCCAATGCACGATGTCATCAAGATGACAAAAGACAGAGGCGCATGGAGAAAAATCATCCATGATGTTACGCTGACCACTACACTCCCTAATGGGGGTCAGGACTGAAGAGAGAGAGAGAGAGAGAGAGAAAATGAGATTATAGCAAGTCTGGAAATTACAAAATTTTCGTTTAACATTTCAATTCTTCAATTTATGTACATTATGTATTACAATTATTGCTCAAAATTGAAGGAAGAACTGAAATATGCAAATATGTATATACAGGGAGCTTCATTAAAAAAAATAAAATTTGATGTGACACAACTTTATGACCGACCCTGTATACTTAAATTTACTAGTAGCTAATATGAATTTAAAACCCATTACAACAGTATCACAGTTTCGGCAAAATGACATCATTAAATCAAACCAAACACATCGAAATTAATTAAATCAAATTGTTTAAGTGATATTTTCAAAAGTCAATAACTCGGAAACGGTTGGTTTGAGGTACATTGTGGGTATCTCAGTGGGATTTTTGCTTAGAATTGAAGAAAGAACCGAAATATGCAATAATATACAGGAGGTTCCATTTAAAAAATGAAGCTTTGATGTGCCACGACTTTATGATCGACCCTGTGTACTTAAATTTATTACTCGCTAATAGATATTTAAAAATCCTATAACTTTTGTATTTAACTTTTTGCGGTACCTCCTGTATTTTACCTAATAATCGACCTCTTCCATGCATAAAAGCAACCCTGTACTTATTCGCAATATGTGTCATATTAGACGCTTATGGAGAATTAAGGTTGATTCTCACTATACCTTCCGTATTAGCTATCTTCCGTTTCCCTTCCGTTTACATAAAATATTATGTATGAGTAGTACAATGCAAATAGTATATATGAGTAGGACAATGCACACTTTCCGTTCGGTTTCCCTTCCGTTCCATATCCTTTCCATCCATACATTTTTTTGGTGGAGGGACTGAAGCGTATCGGAAACCGCGTTGTCAAGTTCTTACATTTGTACTAGCTCTGTTAACATTTTGCTGATATTCTTTCATCTCCTAATTAAATCTATTACCTTTTTCAAAAAATACAATTTTTTAAATAAAACTTTCGTAATGATATAAATTTTACAATAAAAAGTATGGACCTGATACGAGACGGAAACTTACGTATATCGCCAACACAATAAAAAATACGGAACGGATATGGAATGGAAACGGAAGGTATAGTGAGAATCAACCGTAAAACTTAAGTCCCTTGACATTTTGAAAAAGATATTTTGATTTCCATTCTGCAGTAAAACTATTTCTAAAAGTTTTAAATTTAGAGTTTAGAACAAGTAGAAAAGGTATATCCTAGCCTAAAAAATTATGTTTATTGAAATTTACTGATATTACTTATACTCGTATGTCAAAATTGCGCCTGTACAATTTTTTTTTATTTCTTTATTATACCATATAAAATTCACAACTGAACAGAAGAAAAGAGTTTAAAATAAAACTATCGTAATGATATAAATTGTACAATAAAAAGTATGGAACTGATACGGAACGGAAGCTTATACATATAGCATCAACACAATAAAAAATACGGAACGGATATGGAATGGATATGGAATGGAAACGGAAGGTATAGTGAGAATCAACCGTAAAACTTCAGTCCCTTGACATTTTGAAAAAGATATTTTGATTTCCATTCTGCAGTAAAACTATTTCTAAAAATTTTAAATTTAGAATTTAGAACAAGTAGAAAAGGTATATCCTAGCCTAAAAAATTATGTTTATTGAAATTTACTGATATTACTTATACTCGTATGTCAAAATTGCGCCTGTACAAGTTTTTTTTTATTTCTTTATTATACCATATAAAATTCACAACTGAACAGAAGAAAAGAGTGTAAAATAAAACTATCGTAATGATATAAATTGTACAATAAAAAGTATGGAACTAATACGGAACGGAAGCTTATACATATAGCGTCAACACAATAAAAAATACGGAACGGATTTGGAATGGATATGGAATGGAAACGGAAGGTATAGTGAGAATCAACCGTAAAACTTCGGTCCCTTTACATTTTGAAAAAGATATTTTGATTTCCATTCTGCAGTAAAACTATTTCTAAAAGTTTTAAATTTAGAGTTTAGAACAAGTAGAAAAGGTATATACCATATAAAATTCACAACTGAACAGAAAAAAAGAGTGTAAAATAAAACAATCGTAATGATATAAATTGTACAATAAAAAGTATGGAACTGATACGGAACGGAAGCTTATACATATAGCGTCAATACAATAAAAAATACGGAACGGATATGGAATGGATATAGAATGGAAACGGAAAGTATAGTGAGAATCAACCTTTGCTTAGGTATAGTAAAAAATCTGAAATTTTGATTTATTATGCAAAATTATCTCTAGAAAACATTAGACTCATTTCTCGGTTTTGATCATCGTTCTAATCGCGCTGTATCATAAAATATTTTGATTATATTGAAGCTTTGATCATATATTTTTATTCTGACTGAACTTACCCAAGGGTACCACAGTAGCTAACAAACTAAACACTCCGCTTATAACCATTGATCCACAAGCCAGCCATCTTCTTCCCCACACGTCAAGTACCGCAGTGAGGAAGGTATCTGCTGGGAACTCTGTGGCACTAGCAATGGTGAATGTGAGGAAAATATCCAGTCCTAAAGTACCGACGTTTCTGACGTGACCATCGAATACCAAGGAAATGGCCATCCAAAGTAAGATAAGAATGATGGTGATTTTTCGTAGTCTTGGTGTTTTGAAGAGGTCAAGTACGGTGTAGTTCTTGCCGCATTCCTCTTCTTGTTGAGTTTTTATACAACTTTCCTATGAAATAAGTTTTTTTTAATAATACAAAATTTCTAATAAGAAATATATATTTAAAGCAATAAAAGAAAAAATAATTCTTGAAGTTGTTATTTCTTTCAATATGAAGTACATTTTTTTTCTGATGAAAATATCTATATCATGCACATTCTAAAGAGGTTTAAAATAACCTAAATATCACAGTCAAAACCAAGTCGTACACAGAGTTATATAAGATTTTTTATTCGAAATAGTTGGAAGAATATCATCTCGCTCAATATACAGGGCGTTTCAAACAACATGTGCTATCTCTCGTGGGGATATTCCTCACGTAAAAATAAGATTTATTTTTCATATCAACATGGGTTCGATTCTGCTTTATTTCGCAGCTACAGGGTGTTAAAGTCTTAATAATCTTTCGGTTTATTATAATTTTCTTGCAAGTAGTTTTACTGATTCGAATGAAATTTTGGGGGTAATAGTATACATATACATATAAATAAATGCTACATTTTTAATGCTAAAAAAGTTTCGATAAATTTATCAGGGACGTGCATATGGGTTATTACTGGAATATGTTTCTAAAAATAATATGTGCGCCACTGATTTTTTTTCTTTTCATATCAAAATTACGTAGGCCGTTTAATGCCAATTAAAAGTTATCTCTTGATATTTTATTAATCACAATTAATAAAACTAAAATGAAGATAAAATTAATAAATTATATATTTTACCTAGTTTATTATTAAATATTATTAGTATTAGTTAATATTACTATTAGTCCAACCTACAGCAATTTCATAATAATGATGATAATCATAAAAAAAATAATCGTATTTAAGATAATTACAAAAAACCTAATTTTAGAAAGTTTTAACATCCTGTAACTCTAGAACTAAGCATTTCCATACCCATGTTTATAGAAACTTTTTTTGTATTTTTTGACGAGGAATCAATAAGTGCTTATTTAAAACTTTCCCAAGTTAATAAAATTGCGTTTATATTATTATCCCATCAAGGAGGCCGAAATTGACAAAATATCAAGGAGACAACTTTTAATCGGCATTAAAGTTCTTACACTATTTCGCTAACAAGAGAAAAGAATTCAGTGGCGTACATGCTTTTTTCAGAAAAATATTCCAGTCATAACTCATATGTACGTCCCTGGTGAATATGTCGACAGTTTTTAGCAGGCGGATGACATTCATTTGAATTTTGGAAACACGTCGGAGTTTCTGCCAGTAGAGGGATAGATGGCGCTGCGTAGAAATTTCATCTAAAGTCCCTAGATATTCATCTAGGGACTTTAATTTCATCATAATTTTATCAAGTCATCCACAGAGTTAGTTTAATTAACAATTCGTTTGATTCTCTGTGGAGTAATTGAAGTAGTTGGAGTAGTTGAAAAATATAAATATTTATATAAAATGTTGATAATTTAACAGTGATGTGCTTTGTTACTCTATGAATAAACATTGATATGAAGTTGCTTTCGCCAGAAACAATTATAATTAAATAATTTAATAAAAATTTAATTTCTAAGTGACCCGGATCAGTTAGATCAGTAAAGAAAAATTGAAAAATAAACGTCATTCCATATTTGGCAATGTCTGTCAGTTTCTGTGAAGTGGAAGTGAATTGTGATTTGTTTTTATGGGAATATTTTACGGATTTTTGCGAATTTAGAGTATTTTGGACGATAGGATTGTGAAATTTAAAAGCCAAGTAGTTTAATATATAAGATTAATTAATCCCTGTGATAATTTTTATGAAATTTCTCATAATCAAAACAAATTCTTTCAACAAAATGGCTGTCTCAGAAATTTGGAAGATCATTAATTTTAAAGTTTTATTTAAGTGTATTTATATCGAATCAAGAATTTGTATAACATATTAAAAGCTTAATTTTAAAGGTTGTGCAGTAATTTATGTAAGTGTACGCTTTTAGATAAATATTAAATATACAAATTTGCAAAGACAAACAAGTAATTTTAAAAAGATCATTTATTTATTTAAACGAGTATAATCATTAATCATTAGGTTGAAAATATATTTGTATTTACTTATTTATATATTTTCTATACCCTTGTATTATTTATAAGCCCTATATGTCCTGTTTTATGTGGAAAAAAATATGCTTCGAGTCATCGAAAATAGATTTAATAACAATTTTGTCCCTTGGCTTTGTGTATTATATAATGTGAATTGTAAGATGTTTCTATTTGAATATGTCATTAATGTTGAGATTAAAGTTATACCAAATTATATTCACGGTAACTATATGTCTTTTATATAACGATTTATTTATTTATAATTTATAACCTTTTTTATAATTACTTATAACTGATTGTATAAATTCTGATAACTTTTATATATACTTGTATAGTGTTGAATGTGTTATATGTAATTTTATTAACAATGTTATAATAAAATAATCAAGTTACAAATTTTTCGTGTTTTATTCTAATTTCAGGGATAATTTCAATCTAGATTATTAATTTATTTGTATCAAAATACATTATTTTTATTTTGTAAAATGTTTTGTTAGAAATAAGTTCATAATCTAGATTGAAATTACCAAATATAAGTAAAAAACTTACGAACTGGCAGTAAAGGTCCATTTAAAAATATGCCGCGAACTTTTAGTTCTGCCAGTAGCCCGCTTGGATCGCGTCGAGCGCGTGTTTCCAGGGTTTAACATAGGAGTTTTCATTTATTTCAGTTAGTTATTCTATGGTTTTTAGCTTCAAAATATGTTGCATTTGTAGTACCTAACTTTTGCCGTTAAAATCTCATTCGAAACGCTAAAACTACTAGGAAGAAAATTATAATAAATCTAAAAAATATTAAGACTTTAACACCCTGCAGCCACGAAACAATGCAGAATCGGACCTATGTTGATATGAAAAATAAATCTTATTTTTACGTGAGGAATCTCCCCACGAGAGATGGCACATGTTTTTTGAAAAACCCTGTATACCCACATATCTTCTTTTTCACGAATTTTCGACGCAAATCATTACTGATAATAACTCTTATAGAAATTTGCCGTTACAGTTTGATTACAGTAGAAATTCTTTATCCCGTAAGATTGGTTGTTTCTTATTTTATCTTACGATATTTAAAATTCAAAATTATTAATATTTCTAATTTATTTTCTTTTTCAAAAATCACTTGGTAAAAATTACGACACTAAAGTATTTTTAGTATGCCAATATCTACTATTAAGATACAATATTTGATTAATCATTAACAACGAAAAATCTGAAAAGTGATAAAAATATGATATGAAACTTTGAAAAAGAGTGGCTGGAACAAAAATTTTAATTCACCGATTTTTATTTGAACCTATTTACCTTCCTATTTACTAAGTATGATTTTGTTTGAAACATACCCTAAATTGATCGTAGATTTTAGGTTCAACGTTTTTCCTGTTGATTCTTTCGAATTTCTTCAAAATTCCGATACTTTTATCGAACTTGCCTTGGGACACTAACCATCTGAAATGGAAAAAAAATCTTTCTTTAGAACAGCAAATTAATTAATAATTCATAAACTCTTTTTTCAGTTTTGGAAAGCAATATGGAGAAAGATTAGTACAAATATGATTGTTAAAAGTACCATTATCACTCAATAACTTAATAAGATTACAAAAAGGCCTAAATATGCACAATAACTATTAATAATATTTCATATTTTAAAAATAAAATGTCTTCTATTAATTCTTTTTTATTCTCTAGTTATTTTATTTAGGAATTAATATTTTAAAACTAATTATATCAAAAATTGCATAATTGGTCAAAACTCAGCATTAAAAAAAAATATATTTCATATTCTTAATTCTTCTCATATTTCTAATTCTTTCATTGGGGAGCCTGAAGAGAGTTTTTATTAATCATATGTTAATCTCAAACTTCTCTACAATTTTAGTTTGAATAGATAAGACATATTAAGTAATATTGAAAAGCGTGTAAGGAATATTACATCAGATATGTGTTGATCGGAGAAGAAGATTAGAATATAAAGATAAATTAAGATTTTAATCATAAATAGATTAAAAACAAATTGCTTCAATTAAGATATTATAATAATCCCATGTTGTGTTTTTAAAAGTTATCTACCAATCTATATCTACCTTATATAGTAATCTATATATCTAGAAGGGAGTTTTTTTTTGTACATTTATGATTTATCAAGAGATAATATTTATTAAAATCATTTTTAATATCTATGATGATACTTTTTATGCTATGATGATGCTATGATGATGCTATCATGCTTTTTATGCTATGATGCTTTGCTATGATGATTTTTGCGAAATTTGACAGGAGCTTTTCTAAAGGTGTAAATTTTCTGCCAAGTTTTACTGTTTTCTATATCAAACACTATTACTTAAATATTTTTAAATAAGAGATTACCTTGGTATAAAACATTTGGGATTAGAATCTTTGGCGTTACAAAAGCAAAGTAAAGCATTAGTTCATCACAATACAACAAAACATTTTACTTTTAACACTGGACTTTCAACTTAAGTAAAAAATCTTAAATTTAAATCATTTGTTGTAAACTTAAGAAATCATTTGCTGATAATGTTAACATGGTTATAAAAAGCACGTTCGGTTTTAAAACTGATGTTTGTTAGTGTATTCTGGTGAATTGGTGTTTTATTTTGGTTATTGATATAAAAAATTGGCGCCGGGAGGCACGTATAGCCGCCCATAATAAAATATGTTAATAAAAAGTTTGTAGGCATTTCTTTAGTTTCAAAGTAAAGGAATTTTTCCAATTTTGGTTCGCGGTTATTTCCCCTATCCGCCACCCGGGGTCACGTCCGATGAGAGTTTGGAGTTCTCCACACGGATTTTCTCAAAAACGGACTACGGAAACACGGAATATCTCAAAAACTGTGACTTCGACTGATTTTGATGTTATTACAAATTTTGTTGCAAATATTATTCCTAATCTTAAATTGAAAACCGCGTTTCGCTAGCTACTGTAATTTTGGAGTTACGATTTTTAATCCCCTCCCATACCCCCTTACCAACCCCCCACCTCCACCAAAAACTAATGGCCAGATTCTCGGGTGCCACAGTATTTTTGTCCACAGTATTATTTGTGTGTAATTTGGTTAAAATCGGTTTAGCGGTTTTTGAGTTATCGTGTTACAGAACGGACAGACAGACACCATGAAAATATTTCGTATTTAGGTCATTTATGACCCAAACAACTCATTTTGAGTGAAATTAAAAAAACTTTTTTTTTGCCGATCTTAATAGCCTACCATACCTGTTGGTATGGTCGGCTAAAAATATCTCTAATTTAGCTACTGTAGTTTCATGGATCGTTCTAATGCAAGTACCGACAGGGAAACTCTGTATGTCTTGTGGTCTGTATTTACAGACCTACGTAAAATTTCTTCAAAAGACACAAAAAATTACAAAACTGTTCACAAAGGCATGAGACACTTATTTAAAAATATCATAATAATAAATAAAACAATTAATAATTAATTATTTTCTTTCACATTTTGTTATCAGAATAGTATTGTTAACTACCCTGCTAAACTTCTGAAATGCTAAATACAATTGAATCTATAGAATCAATATGACAATAGCAGGCTTCCTAGTTGATAACTTCGAGTTGCTTGCGTCACAAGGAATAGATATCAAACAGCCAAATAAGGTCAAATCGAGAACAAATACATCAATAATACGGTTTATGGAGCGCTCTTTATGGAAACAGGTAATTAAGCATCGGATTTTATGTCAATGGAATGGAATAATGGATGTAAAACGTGCGAAGAATGGACCAATTAAGATATAACAAAAGGATAGGCATTTTTTAATAAGCTGAATTTAATTAATTAGAATTCTTGACTCTTTATATAGAGGATGCCACCTAATTAAAACAAATAAAATGACAGAAGTTATTTAGCTGTAGATCTATATATTTTTATCTTTAGTAACTATTTAAAATTCCTAAGAAATTTTTTATTTTTTGAAGGATAGGCATTTTTTAATAAGCTGAATTTAATTAATTAGAATTTTTGACTCTTTATATAGAAGATGACACCTAATTAAAACAAATAAAATGACAGAAGTTATTTAGCTGTAGATCTATATATTTTTATCTTTAGTAACTATTTAAAATTCCTAAGAAATTTTTTATTTTTCCTAAATAAATCTTTATTTGAAGTAACTGCAAATCCTCAAGTCTGAAATGAAGTCTGAAAAACTGCCATCACAGGAAGTCAAATATCTAGGAATAACCCTGGACAGTAAATTTCTCTGGAACAGGTATATAAGAACTTTAGCAGCAAAGCCACAGAGGCTCTCATAATATGCAGAAGAATGGCGGGAAATAGATGGGGCTGCGCCCTTAATATTTTGCGCTAAATGTATACCATGATAGTAAGACCCAAGATTACCGATGGAGCAGTTACTTGGTACACAAAACTAGAGCAACTTACAGCAAGGCAAAACTACTGCACATTGTCGTCGGGAGTTATGCCAATGCGACAATGATTAGAATGATCTTTGACGGGAACAGTACTGGGAGAATTTTGAGGTCAGGGGCTTGGAATACCCTCAAAAAAAATTGCACTTCTTCAACTGCCAGTGGATGACATACCAAAAATTTACAACTTTTGAAAACATCTCAATATAGTACTGAGTAATAAAAAGGATTGGATGGGAGAAACGTTTGCTCAGCATGTAAAAGACCATACCATAACGTGGTATACTGACGCTTCCAAAATCAAAGCAGGGACAGGGATAGGAGTATTTGAGCCAAAAACTAAGGACAGTGTTCTCTATAATTTTGTTTACCGAGAAATTTAAATATTTTATATACCGGGTGCGACTGAAAAGTGGTTCACCCCTATAACTTTTTTATTTAGTACATTAGTACCGTATGATCGAATAAAAACGGCGTCAGCGATGGCTATGAGATGAAGATCGCTGTCATTTTATATGTAAAATTATATGGGAAATGTCATCGATCGTCATTTCATAGCCAACTGGACGCCATTTTTTTTCGATCTTACGATACATGACATAAATTCTAAGGACTAATTGACGTAGTCAATTGTTTTAGGTCACTTTCTGTTTCACCGGAAATGACTGCAACTTTTGATTTTTAAATGGCATCCTGTATATATTTCTACTTTATTCGATAGAAAATGACACTCTGAATTAGCGATGGGAACTGTCGATTGAATTAGACTATCGAATGGTTACTGAATGAATGATTTCAACTATCGAATGGTTTTATTCGAATAAAATCATTCATTCATTTGTATACTAAAGCATATGTGACAACCTCGCCGTGCGACTAAATGGTTATCGTTGAGCCACGACTATCGAATGTTTTTGACAAATGAAATTTAGTATTCGTTTGATTTTTGTGTGCGTCAGTGCATTATTAGTTCTTCCAAATTTTTATAACTTCTCCTTATAAATACTGTGCTATTTTTGCGTTTATTAAAATATTTAAAATACTAAAATAGTAGTTTTTTTAATTGACGATTGTGTGTGTGTGCAGGTGGTCAAAATTTTTCCGAAAGTTTGTGTGATTTTCCGTAGCCCGATCTTTCAATTATTTAATTTTATATGGTATATGGTCTATTTTTTAATGGGAAATTTTGAGAAGTAGCAATTTTTAAGAGAGATGAGATGAACTTACAATTAATTTTAAAAATACATATTTGTATTTTAGATGTTTTAATAATATGAATTAGTTGAACTTAATAATTATATTAATTAATGTGGTTAAGTAAATGGTTATCGAACTCAGACTATGGGGTGAGAAAATTAAATTAAAAGTTTTACACGTGCCAATTTAAAAAAAAGTTAACGATGTTTGTATTTTGTTTATGCTAATTCTCTTACATGTAGTTTTTTGCGAAGAAATATTTCATTTATTTTTTAGTAAGTAAATACCAGTAAAAGTAAATATTATTATTATTAAATAGTAATATAAAGTACCGAATATAAATAATTTTGATTTCTAATTTTTATTTATATTTTCCTTGCATTACACTGCACGCTTAGAAAATTAATAAATGTTTATATTTCATGATTTTAAAATTTGTTGTTAATATAACAAATTAGTTCTGTAATTATTATTATTTAATAAACCAACGTTGCCACAAAAAATTGAGAGACTATATTATTTTTAAATAGGATCTAATATAAATAATTTTGACATCAAATTTGTTGTTTATATTTTGCTACTACTTAAAAAAAATGTTTATATTAAATGATTTCAAATTTTGTTGTTAATAGGTATAACAAATTATTACTGTTATTATTATTTATTAAACCAGTCTTTGCTTAAACACATTAAAAATAATTTTCCTACATCAAAATAACAAGTATTATTGCAGTGTAACAACAGAATATTAATAAAAAAATATAAAATATATAGACATACTATCCCTAACTAACTAAAGCCAAACAATAATATTCTTTGCTAATATCAATTAATACCGAGACTAATACCAATATATGGCAACAGCGCCCTTCATAATGTATTTTCTGTGTAAATACTAGCACCTCAATAAAAAAAATAATGTGTCCTTATCTATATCTGACTCCGCAAAAAATCAAAGATGCCGGCTTCTTTCATAGCATTGCCACCGACCGGGTTTTTCGGAAAGAAACCTACGTCGCCGGGCGACAACTAAAATCCAGTTAATATTTTATTATAATCGATCCTGACGAATAAATGAATTTTCTAAATGAATGAATTTTATAAATGAATGGTTTTTGCTACCGAATTACTAGAATACAATATTTCAAGGCAGATGACGCATCTATTCGATAATTTTTATTCGAATAGTTTTCAACGAATGTTTTTTTACTAGCTATCGAATTATTCGAATGAATTGCAACTATCGAATGTTTCGATAGTATTCATTCGATAGTTCCCACTACTACTCTGAATAGAATGACATATTATATGTTAACTTTTGACATTTCCGCATATGGTTTATTTAAAATCGTAACATGTGGTTCATAACGACAATTTGACTCGAAATATCAAGTATGTGGTACCAAATTATTCGTAAAAAATTGCTTTTTCCAAATATGCTAATGAGCCACCCTTGTTCCACTTGAAAAAATTAAGATATAATTAAAAATACGATTTGGGTATCTTTCAACCGGCCAGGACAAGACACGAAAAACATTAGACGATCAAAGTTATTTTTCCTAGGCTCCTTGATTAAAAATTAGTGTTTTTGACACAACCATGGCACTCTAGATTGAAATTTGAAAGTCGATTTCATTTTAAGCGAAAATGTCAAAAGTTGAAATAGAAATATACCGAGGGTACCATTTAAAAATGAAAAGTTGTAGTCATTAGCGGTGAAACAGAAAGTGACCAAAAACAATTGAGTACGTCAGTTAATCCTAATTTATGTCATATACTGACACACCAAATCTGGTTTTTTTATCTGAAGAAATAAAAAAGTTATAGAGGTAAGCCACTTTTGGAGACGCACCCGGTATATTTAAATATGCTATTTTCACACTATTTTCCGATGAATTTCTATTCAAATATCTAGTATGTCTATAGTGATGAGTGATGAGCGAGCTACGTCTTGTTCTGCACAAAAAGCAAGACCAAGACTAAGTACCGTATGATCGAATAAAAACGGCGTCGGCGATGGCTATGAAATGGAGATCGCTATTATTTTATATGTAAAATTATATGGGAAATGTCATCGATCGTCATTTCAAAGCCGGTCATACGGTATATTAAAATGAAGACCGCTGGCGTCGTTAAGAATTTTGCGAGCCCACTTAGAAACATTTGGACATCTGATTTATTGGTTTTTAGATAAAAACGAGGTTTACAGTTGAGGGTTGGAAACTTTGGTGTTACACAGCAAAATAAAACACTAAATCACCACAATACACCAAAACACTTTTACTTTTACACTGGACGCGCGTTTCGCTAACCATGTTACCATCATCAGCAGATGATTATAAATGGAATTATAAACTAATTTATAATCATCTGCTGATGATGCTAACATGGTTAGCGAAACGCGGGTCCAGTGTAAAAGTAAAAGTGTTTTGGTGTATTGTGGTGATTTAGTGTTTTATTTTGCTAAAAACGAGGTACCAAAAATTTTAGGTTTAAACTATTATTGGTATAGATAGTAAGAAATAATAATATACAAATTACAATTTCTACAAGTTCTTGCTTTATACAACATACCTTGCCGATTCTGGTACTATCCATGGTGTTAGAATAGCCAAGGCCAACGGAGCACTAGTGACGTAGCAGAGCATCTTCCAATCGGCCACGTACAAAGCTATCCAAGGTAATATGGAAGCAGCAAAGGTAAAGAATATAGCAATGGACATATTTGCCACAAATGTTCTCCATTTTGGTCCAACGTATTCTAATACTGTAAAGAAAAAAAATTATATTTTTGAATATACAGGGTGGTTCGAATTGTATTCCGAAAACTTTGGCAGCATATTCTGTAGCTAAAAATGCGTAAAAAAGTTCGTATAAATGTATGTCCTAAAATGCTTAGTTTCAGAGACATAGGGTGTAGAAGTTTCACTTCTATCTCGATTTATTCCAGATAATTTCTGAACTTATATATTTTATATATTAATATTTGGATGAAAATTGGCGTCTGGGAGTTTTTTGACATGGGAAATTTGATTTTGGTGTCAATATGACTCCTACTAGTAGAGGGCGCCACCTACATTTGTTTTAACCTTTGAATAAGAAGACTAAGGAAGGAGCATAATGCTATCCATGTATTCATGCATGGTGGGCGGAAAAGCCATCATAAAAGCTCTCTAGGATGGGGATCCTTGACAGTTCTGTTTGACGATTCATTTGACACATTTGAATTTGATTTGAAATTTTGTGGATTTGTCAGTCTTTACGGAGCTTATTTTATGTTATTTATTATTTATTCTACTACTGATAGTTGTATAAAGGTAGTAAATCTAGATGGAAATTGTGGCAGAACTTAAATTAACAGTGACACTATCGCGATTTATCGAAAAAGACTCTAAAATAGTTGGTTGTGTAGCTCACGGCAAAAATTGAGTGAAATAATGGAACAACTTTTCGCTAGTAAGTGACTATATAATATACATACGTGTAGTAAACCGATCATTTATGAAATTCACTTAAATTAACTAAATTATATATTTTTCTTGCATTTTTAGCTTTTATTTATTATTGGTCAAAGATTAGATGTCAAAGAATTTAGATACGTTAATTTGACTTACCTGCTTCAGTAGCGTATCGGATGTTTGTGTTAATAAATACTTATTATAACTTATCTATTTTTATTAGAATTATATATTTTTATAACAATTTTAATAACTACCAACATTTATTCACAACGTAAAATAAAACAACAAATTATTGAGTCTACCCCACGTCTACCCTACATCATAGTTTTACATTTTTTAAATAAAATTAGAACGACACTGATAAACCGGAATTTAAGTCGGCCATATTTGAGGCGCATCGCGGTGTACCTAAGGTTTTTGATATGCTCCTTCCTTAGTCTTCTTATTCAAAGGTTTTAACTGTTTTGAAGCGTAATAAATTTTGTCAGTACCTGTATAAAACTACCAAGTGAAAAAATATACATCTCTGTGACTTTTTATGTAAAAAATATATCATTGTAAAAATCGCTACGAGCTTCTAAAGATATTTAGAATGGAAATAGACAATACATGTCATTATTGACAAAAAATAAACACATTGAGTAGGTAGTTGAATCACTGAAACAATAAATTAGAGAAATTTTTATTTTTTTGAATTAATCATAATTTTTTCTGCAAAAATGATGATAAAACAGTTTCTGTTGAACTTTTGCCACAAAAACGTTTCAAATTTATGATTTCAGTCTAATAACTATTTAGTTAATCTTTCAGTAAATGTTCAGATACATGAATTAATAATAGCTCAAGTATAAGTTCAACTCATAGGCTTCAGACCTTCCCAACTATTTAGTTAACAAATGTTTAATGTATGTCAATGATGACATGTATTGATAATTTCGATTCCAAATATCTCGAAAACCATTACTCGTAGCTATTTTTACCAAGAGACCTTTTTCACGTAAAAAACGTCGTAAATGTAATTTTTTTTACTCAGTAGTTTTTTACAGGTACAGACGAAAAGTTATTACTTTTCAAACCGGTTAAAAATATGTAGATGGCGCAATCTACAAATAGGACTCAGATTGACATGAAAATCAAATATTGTCAAGGATGGAATTATTCGATATATAAAATAACATATTTAATATTAATATATTTCGTAAATTAATAATTCGATTGAAAGGAAGTATAAAATAATTAAAGTTCATTGGCATTTACGCAACAAAAGTAAAGTTTTAAAAATCAAAGTTATAAGCATAATTGGCAATTGCGAAATTTCCTTTCAATACTACGAATTTATAAAATCATCAAATCAGCACTAACGCGGTCATCGCACCGGTCATCGCACCGATAGACCAATAATGCTGATTCGATGATTCGACGTGTTGAACCAATAAATACAAAAATGTCACCTGTTGGGGGGGGACAGTCCATAGTCGATAGTAAGTTCGATAAGGTCGCGGTCGAGATTCCGGCATTGGCGTTACACTACCCTGACACTACCCCCGAGCCAGTGATGATGTTCGTCCATAAATATAATATGTAAGTACACATTTAGTTTTATAATTATTTTATTATTCGTAGATTAATTAAATTGATTATTAAGTTAAATTGAAGTATTTATTATTTGCTATGCCCCTAGTCATAACCCACAAAATGGGCCGTGACATATGTGGTGGAGGCGCCGGGCATAGCAAATAATAAATACTTCAATTTAACTTAATAATCAATTTAATTAATCTACGAATAATAAAATAATTATAAAACTAAATGTGTACTTACATATTATATCATCATCTGGCTCGAAGTAGGCAATTATCGAGTCCTGCCGAACGATATGGACTGTCCCCCCACAGGTGACTGTTTGTATTGACAGTTCGTTGATCGAATCATCGAATCAGCATTATTGGTATCGATGCGATGACAATGCGATGTATCGTTAGTGCTGATTTGATGATTTTAAATTCGTAGTGATGAAAGGGAAATTTTCGCAATTGCCAATTATGCTTATAACTTTGATTTTTAAAACTTTACTTTTGTTGCGTAAATGCCAATGAACTTTAATTATTTTATACTTCCTTTCAATCGAATTATTAATTTACGAAATATATTAATATTAAATATGTTATTTTATATATCGAATAATTCCATCCTTGACAATATCCTATATCAAAAAACTCCCAGACACCATTTTTCATCCAAATATTGACGTTACTTCATAAACTATTTAGAAAAATTCGAAATAAGAATGAAACTTCTACACCCTGTATCTTCGAAACTAAGCATTTTAGGACATACATTTATACGAACTTTTTTACTTATTTTTATCTGCAGAATATGCTGCGGAAGTTTCCGGAATACAGTTCGGACCACCATGTATATTGCAATCTCTTTAATCGGAAGAGCTGATTGTAACAACATATTTCTATTAGCAAATATTATACAAAATATATTATATATAATAAGTCGTATTCGCTGATTCGGGTCGTCAGTTCGGTTCGTCAATACATATTATACTGATAGTTGTTATTTCTTACATAATACACATTAAAAAAATAACGCCAAAAGAAAAAATCTACCTATTGTACTGAAAAAAACTGCACATCACCGTAAACAATCTTCATACAATAGTTTTGGACTGTTCTTTTGTAGACAATTTATAAATAATCTTCTTCAGGATAATACAAATAAATTTATTTGGATATAGAAAACAAATTTCTTACCTAATATGTACATCATTGTGAAACAATTGTCGAAAGCCATACCAACTAGGAACCTGCACACGGAGAAAGTCCAAAACGACGAGCACATGGTGGTGGCCATACCTCCAATAAATCCAACCATATTGGTACCCACCAGAGCTGGTATTCTGCCTAGTCTATCAGCGATCCAACCGAAAACCAATCCACCCAAAATGGCACCACAGAAAAATATGGACTGAGCTGTGCTGGGCAAAGCTGCGTTATCGCACACCCAATTATTCTGGAAAAAAGAAAATTATTAAAAGAAATATTATGTTGGGGATTGGGCTTATTGAAAATTAGATCTTTTTATTGTTTGTTAAAAGGAACTTTATTTGTATTTGTTAATCTACAGGGTTGCGCCTCTCATACGAAAATTGAACAAAAATGAAGAATACCTTTTAAATTTCAATAAAAGCTACCTAAAGGTTGATTCTCACTATACCTTCCACACACACAACATGCACACTATCTATTCCGTTTCCCTTCTGTTCCATATCCTTTCCTTCCATACATTTTTTGGCGAATGCATTGAAGCGTATCAGAAACAGCGTTGTCAAGTTCTTAGATTTTTGCCAGCTCTATTAACATTTTGCTGATATTTATTTATTCGTTCACCTCTTAATTAAATCTATTACATTTTTCAAAGGATACATATTTTTAAAATAAAACTTTCGTAATGATATAAATTGTACAATAAAAAGTGTGGAACTGATACGGAACGGAAGCTTACGTATAACGTCAATACAATAAAAAATACGGAACGGATATGGAATGGAAACGGAAGGTATAGTGAGAATCAACCTTAAATTGGAATTTGCTCGATATATCGTAATATGTAGTTAAAATAACCATTGTACTTTAAATCAAATTAAAACTTGATCCAAAAAGTTATACAGGGCGGGTAAAATTAATATTGAACATAAGTCACTTTTAAAAGCAAGTTACTCTTTTATTTTAGATAAAACACCCAGTATAATGTTCCGACATTCAATGGAGAGATGTCTCTCTCTAAAATAAAATATATTGTTCTTCATAAAAAACCGTGACTTGTAAAATATAACAATTACATCATATGTCATTAAATAAAAGAAAATTAAACAAGGTATACATAGATTAACAAAGACGCTACAAAAATACTAATTGGTGATTAGAAAAAAGACGACCTTAAATAACCTGTTCTAACTCTACACACCTAGCAATCATCTCTTGTCAATCATTTTTTATCTTGTAATGCTTATTATTTTTAGCAATGACCATAACCTTCATCTAACAATATAAATATAAAGTATAGTTTAATCATTAAGATGTAATAAATTGGCGGCTCATTATACAGGGCGTTCCAAAAAACATGTGCCATCTCTCGTGGGGAGATTCCTCACGTAAAAATAAGATTTATTTTTTATATCAACATAGGCCCGATTCTACTTTGTTTCGTAGCTACAGGGTGTTAAAGTCTTAATATTCTTTCGATTTATTATATCTAAGTACTTTTATCGTTTCGAATGAAATTTTGAGGGTAAAAGTTATTATGAATGCCACATATTTTAAGCTAAAAATGTGTCGATATATTTACCACGGACGTGCATGTGGGTTATCACTGGAATATTATAAAATTTTCTGTAAAAAGTATGTACGCCACCGACTCTTGTTAGCGAAATAGCATAAGCAGTTAATGCCGATTAAAAGTTGTCTCTTGATATTTCGTCGATTTCGGCCTCCTTGCTGATGAACCCAATTTTATTAATTTGCCTTGATCCAAGACCCAAGTATAATAGCAATCTTTAAAAAAATTAATATCATTAACTTGCGAAAGTTTTAAATAAGTACTCATTGATTCATCATCAAAAAATATGACAAAAAGTTTCTATAAACATGGATAGGTAAATGATTAGTTTTAGAGTTAGAGGATGTTAAAACTTTTTAAAATTATTTTTTTTGTAATTATCTTAAATATCATTATTTTTTTATTTGAAATTGCTGTCATAAAATAATATATAATAAGAAATTAGATAACATATGTAATTTATTAATTTTATTAATTGTGACTAATAAAATTGCGTTTTTTTTCCATAGCAACTGTTAAAATTGGATAGGTTAAAAACTTTATGTCTTCTCACACGTTTTTTAATTGCTTCCATTTTTGAAAATTTTTGTATTCCTTTTCATTTTTCATTCAGTTATTCGAGATTTAAGTTTGGATATGGCGTTTGTCGATGTCGCCTCAGCCTGAATATCTGTTGGTAATTTACTTATTTCGTTTTGAGCCATTTCTGGCTCCAATTCAATCAGCAATCTACACGAAAGAGAATTAGAAAATATTGACCAGGCCCTAGACACTCAATACTAATTTTATGGAACTACAAATTTAGTTTCTTCCGCATCGCCAGACAGCGCAAAAGACATTAGAGTACAGGTTCCTAATTTATATATGAAAATGACATGACAGCCTCTATATTTACTACCATCCATGGTCTAGTTTTGGCCTAGTTGTCAAAATGTTGGTGATCCGTCAAGTTATTTTTAAATAATTTTTAAATAATTATGAATTCAGATATTCTTGATTTGCGGAAAGTTCGGTGATTTGTGTTTATAGATTGTGTTTTTATTAGTTTGTGCATTTTGATATTTACAGTTGATCATCATTTTCGTGTTAGATATTAAAACTTTTTTATCAGACATTTTAGACATCTTAGAAATAATATATTATTTATGAATGAAATAAAAAAATGTTTAATCATAAATAAGTAAGTACATAGTTGGTAATATAGTATTTTTAGTAATAGTTAATTAGTAGTCTATAATATTTCTACTATATTATAATTTATTTGTTAAATCAAAAAAATAGGCACTATGTGCTCTATTGTTGGTGTTTAAAATGTATGTATTCATAATAATTTTATTTTTAGTTTTGAATATGTTACACTTCTAATGATCTAATAAAACATAAAATATAGTAAACAAGTCTATATATTTATTATTTTATATTTTATAAAGAATAATTTTGCACTTGAATAACGTTACCGTTTTAGTTAGCGTTAATAAATAACGGAACGCTAAAATTATGTTATGCCAAAACTCTCCATTAGTTTCTTCCGGATCACCAGGTGGCTCTAAATGACGGGCTTATTTGTTTTATATCAGTGTCCAATCTATCTCTAGTACGTATATTAGTCTATGATATTGACTCAAAACTGACAACTAAAAAGACAGCTTTATTTATTTGTCAAATTACATAGAAACCAACGCCAACCCAGCACAATATTTTTTCTACTCGTAATAAATTCCTTGAAATAATAATTTCTGAATATTTTTTAAAACGTAGCGCGTTACGTTGGAAAAAAATATTGTTTTATACACGACGATAAAATTGCATTATCGTCTAAAAATTAATGCGCATTATCGCGCTCATGATTTAATCTTTTCGGTCGACGATAAAATACCATTTTATCGTCTTGTATAAAGAAGAACTATTATCTCATCAGCTTTTTTTGAAAAATATTCCAGTAATAACCCATACGTACGTCCCTGACGAATTTATCGACACTTTTTTAGCCATTAAAATATGTAGCACTTATAGTAACTTTCACCCTCAAAATTTCATTCGAAACGCTAAAACTCTAAAAGTACTTGGGAGAGAATTTTGTAATAAATCGAAAAAATATTAAGACCTTAACACCCTGCAGCTGCGAAACAAAGCAGAATCGGACCAAATTAGTGGAAAGTTTTTATTAGAATTTATACCGGGTGATTCTTAACCTATACGCATAAAGTTGGGAAATTATTGCTGATGACAAATAATGACTAACAATGAAAAAAAAAAAAGTTAGTAAAATAATTTTATTTAGGAGATAACAAACTATTTGAAATAAAAACAAAAAACGTAAATTCCATTAAATTGAATGTGCATTTACTGATAAAGTTAGCAATAACAGCAATAATTTCCCCAAGTTTATGCGTATAGGTTAAGAATCACCCTGTAGAAATCTCTTGCAGTTTGCTGTCTTCCGACTTTATAAAAAATAAAATCTCGCGAGTACAGTGATCGTAAGAAGGACAAAGCTTATGAGCAACTATTGATGAAATTAAAAGAGGATGCTGATACTACAAAGGAAATGGTAAAGAAAAAATGTATTCATTACGCTTAGGCTACCGTAGAGAATGAAACTAAATGAGTCAAAAAGAACTGGTAATGGAACTGAAGACGTTTATGTACCTAATTAATATATATGATAAAACTACCAAATCACGTAACATTTTTCGTAAGTAGCTCCTCTATATTAAACCCTTTCATATACAAGGATTAAACTTAATGACCCTAGCTTTTTAATGTATATTGGTAATATTATTCTTGTTGCGAAGGTCAGGGAATCTATGTAATACTTCAAACATCTCCGTAACGATGCTACTGCTAATTAATGATAGATATAATTATCATATATTATTATAAGAATTAGTATTCAGGATTCATACCGTTCTCAAGTATTTTATGATTTTTTTTCAAAAATGGGATAATAAGATTCTACAAATATGTATAAACTATACTAAACGTTTGATGAGCTAACTTTATAAAGTTTATTATGTTTATTTGAAGATAGAAGTGACATCATTCTTGTATATTTTTTCTGTCTAATTATTCAACTTGAGTTTAGATTTTCTATAAAAATCAGGCCCGCTAGAGTAGTAAGTTAAATAATTTTTTATAATACTTGTATTTTAATTTCTTTAGAGAACATACGTATATAGGCGCAATGTCTAAAGAAAACAATTCTATATATTATAAGTAAGCTATGTTAAAATACATTTTGATATTTAGTAGTGCACAAACAAGTTTCTAGCATGTACAAATATGAATTTCATGATGCCATCACCATATATGGGGAAATACTTTGTATCATTTCAGTCTCAATTTTTTAGAACTATTTTTTTTAAACTATTGATTCAACAACAAATTTACATGAATATTTATTAATTGATTCAACAAATTTAAATAATATATAGGGGTAATTCAGAGAAACGGCAACGTTTCTTTTAATTGCTCTAATTTGTTAGTAACAATTACCGGTGAAGAATGTAATTTACACTGATTTAGAAAAGCGTAAATTTTATTTTGTAGCCAAAAATAATTATTATTAATAATTATTATTTTACTGATCTAAATCAGCTTACTTCTGTAGCGATGGTGGTGTAAGGTACTTCAGTAGTGTTATATTCCCATCCGCTCCTGCAGGAAACCAATTTCCAGTTTGGATCTGCTTCCTTAATACCCTGTTGTAACAATTCCGTGTAGTTCACGTTGTACATTTTACATCTGTTTCTAACTTCGCCATCCATAGGTATGGCTAGTGCTATCCTGTAACAAATAAGAAAACGTTTAAATATACATGATGATGCTTATAACTTTATTTGGTATTTTTTAAAATATTGAAGGTAAATATCAAACTATGTCTATGATTATAAAGCTAAAAAATGATAAAAATTTGAAAAAAAAAAGATTTGAAATATTTTGAGAACAGTGGCTCATAGCGATTTTTACCAAAATACTTTTTTCACGCAAAAACGATAGAAATGTATATTTTTTCTCTCAATATTGTAATACAGGCACGGACGAAAAGTTATTTCTCTTCAAAACATTCTTTTTCATCCAAATGTCGATGTTAATTCAGAAATTATTGGGAAAAACTAAATAAAAATGAAATTACTACACCCTGTATCTCCAAACCGAAGCATTTTAGGACAAATTTATACCAACTTCTTTACTTATTTTTATCTACAGAATATGTTTCCCGTTTATAATTTGTACCACCCTGTATATGTTTAAAATTTGATAATAGAAAATATTTCGGTGATCCAATTAAATTTCTTTTTGGAGTTCTCAAAATTTGCAAACCATTTTACAACTGTTTTTATTACATACAATCGTATAAAATTTTGTATACATATTAAGTTTTCGTGGCAATACAATAATAACAGTATATTCAACCATCAACATGCCCTTTTCGAAGATAAAATAAGTCAGATAGAGCCAGATAAAATAATTTCCAGAGTCAATACTTTGACTCTGAATCCAGAGTCAGAAACAAGAAGACCAGAGTGCTCTGGAAAGTAAAAAAACTATGAAGTGCGTTGTATTTGTCTTCTCAACTAAGAAAACTACCACAGATTGGAATTATTCAGAGAAACTTTGCTACACTTCGGGGAACTTGGTGACATATTTCCTTCTTACAGTGCCATGTTCTATCTCTATATAGAGCGTGGATGTTTTCTCTACTTTTAGTTGCTTTTAAAAGAGTACCTGTACCAATTGAATATACCACCATTATTTCCATCCAAATATTAATTAATTACATACTTAATTGTGTTAGTTCATACATTATTCTAAACAAGTGTGGATTTCAGTCAGAAATCAATACAGGGTGGCCCATCGAAAACGTTCCGCAAGGCATAACGGCCAGGGTAATTTTTTTCAGAAAATCCAAAAACACGTCAATTTTGTTTGTGAGGAGGACAACTTTTGCCCCAAAAATGATTGCAAAATCTTCAACCCTCTAAGCGGGGGTGTCATCCCCCAACTTTTTTCAAATGGGAAGAGGGGTCAAGTGGCACCGCAATGAAAATAGCTTTCTATTCTCTATATTTCCCCGCTTCGTTTTTGAAAATCGGTCGAGTCGTTGAGAAAATATGAAGGATTGAAATTTGAAAAGTTTATTTAAACATTTATCAGAGTAAATGATAAGGATAAATTCCTTCGACCAATTTGCTGTTTTTTCTTATTATTTCTAGATGTTTACGCATTTTTTCACTTGCCACAAGGTTGAACGATCAGGTGCGGTAGTTGCTAGATAGCTGTTCTGTGATTTGTGCGTTGAAGTTCTAATCAATATCGTTAAACTTTTTAACAATTATAGTGTACTCACTTGCAGAAAAAGTGGATATAATCGAACTTTATTTTGAAAAATAATGAATGTGGCAATCGGGTTTGCGCAGATATTCAATGAACGCCATCCTGACAAACACCTTTATGGCAAAATTGTTCGCGATTTAGTAGCAAAATTTCACGAAACTGGTTCCGTTATGAATAAAAAGAGGCAGAGGGAAAATCCTGTAGTAAATGAAGCTATGGAGGTATTCGTATTGGGCCAAGTTGCCATGGATAGTACGCTGAGTACAAGAAAATTAGCCAATGAGACCGCGACCGGCGTGAATCGTACAAGTGTCCAAACGATATTAAAAAAACACAAGTTCCACCCGTACAAAATTCAGTTGGTACAAGAACTCAACGAAGACTGGTATTTTTGGAAATCTATTGTAGGTCAGTTTAACGATATTGAGACCGCACCTGATCGTTCAACCTTGTGGCAAGTGAAAAAATGCGTAAACATCTAGAAATAATAAGGAAAAATAGCAAATTGGTCGAAGGAATTTCTCCTTATCATTTACTCTGATAAATGTTTAAATAAACTTTTCAAATTTCAATCCTTCATATTTTCTCAATGACTTGACCGATTTTCAAAAACGAAGCGGGGAAATATAGAGAATAGAAAGCTCTTTTCATTGCGGTGTCACTTGACCCCCCTTCCCATTTAAAAAAAGTTGGGGGATGACACCCCCGCTTAGAGGGTTGAAGATTTTGCAATCATTTTTGGGGCAAAAGTTGTCCCCCTCTCAAACAAAATTGACGTGTTTTTGGATTTTCTGAAAAAACATTACCCTGGCCGTTATGCCTTGCGGAACGTTTTCGATGGGCCACCCGTATGGTGTTGTGAATTGGTTGTGAACATACATTTAATATAGTTATTAATAAGTTACAAACGTCTCTATTGTTGTAAATAAGCGTTCTTCAAAAAGTGAAATAAAATTTGTAAGGTGTTACTTTTTACAAAACTGTCTATAACAAACGTTCAAAATTCAGTTTTTTTTAGTATTTGGAGCAATTATTAATCATCGCAAACAAGTCAATTAATGTAAAAAATGCAGTTGGAATACTGGGATCCTATTAATTGCTTCTCTTTGACATATATTTAAACGTTTTTTTTTATTTTTTAATAAAATAAGCGAACTATCTTGACTTAGTTCAGTTAGAAGGTTTTTTAGTTCTCAGTTTAGTTGGAACTAAACTGAGTAGTTTCTCACAAACTAAAATCATCATGTACGTATGTTCCGTTGCTTCCATCACTTTCAGAGCGGCTTGATTATGGATTTTTTTTACTAAAAAATATATTAGAAAGTATTTGGAATTTTAATGAACCCACCTTGAATAAGAAATATAATTAAACAAATTAGTTCTTGAGATTTAAAAATAACAAACTTGTTAACAAGACTATAAAAAAACGATTTGTTAAAATATTCTTCGCTAAATACATACAATATTCAAATGACTCAAGAGCAGTTCCTATTACTTAAATATTAAGAAATCCGAACGGCATTGGCATTGGCAGTAAAACAATCACTTACAAAGCGTGACGTATGATATGCAATAGGCTGTGGAAAAAAATCACGCACGTAACGAGACTAGATCCGCGCGGCGCGGTGGCCGGCCGCCATATTTAAAACCAGACGGACCTTGGTCCGATTTTTGGCCGAGCCACTGTTGAGAAAGAAGGAAGTTAATTATACACACATACACTCTTGTTAGATTATCTTTTTAGCAATTGATTAATAACAGTAGCGGCACGAGGATTTCTTTTGATTGGGGATGCAGAAAGAATGTTTAAATTTCTCAAATTGTATATAACTGTTTAAATTTGAGACAGACCTAGTAAAAGATAATTAGAGCAATCGAGTCAATATTGAAGTAAAAAATTGAGGACAAATTATAAATTATCTTTATGTCAATATACAGGGTCCGGCAATAGTGCGTCGGGCATCTGTAGCTCCTAGAATAAAAAACTTGAGAATTTTGTTTAAGTGCAAACCTAAAGTATGTACCAGGATGTATTTCAGGAAAATATTTTAACTTCTATAGGGTGGCTCAAAAAAGTGTCAGTGGACCTGGATGATTTTTTTTAAATGGGACACCCTGTATATTATTGCATTTTTGGCTTTCTTTCAGATCACTTTACATAACCCTAAGATATGAATAAATAAATTTCGATAGAGATATTAAAAAATAAATCAAAAATATATATTTTTCAGCCCTTCTTAAAAAAATTATTAAAAGTACAAGAACTGTTCTGAAATCAAGACTATTTTAGGTATTTACTTTAGATGGTCTGTACTTACTTTGTTATAAATATGAAAATCATCAATCATACAGGATGTTCAAAATTCTACGCCAAACTTTCTAAAATATAAAATAATTTTTCTTTGTTTTTTTAAATGGAACACACTGTATATTATTTTTTCAATAGACGGAGAATTAAAAAATGAACATTTTTTATATTTAGAGTATTTCAAAAATTTTAACGGTTTCGCAGATATTTGCGGTTTTATATTTCATATGGCATTTTCCACAGTAAATTTTTATCAAAGCCACCCGATGATTTTTCTCTCGTATTTTACCATTGACAGCGCCATATGAAATAATACTGCGTGTATCTGCGAAACCGTTAAAAATTTTGAAATACTCTAAATACAAAAAATGTTCATTTTTTAACTCCCGATCTAATAAAAAAATAATATACAGGGTGTTCCATTTAAAAAAACAAAGAAAAAATATTTTATATTTTAGAAAGTTTGGCGTAGAATATTAAACATCCTGTATGATTTACGATTACCATATTTATAGCAAAGTAAGAACAAACCATCTAAAGTAAATACCTAATGTACTTTTGATTTTAGAACAGTTCCTGTATTTTTAATAATTTTTTTTAAGAACGGTTGAAAAATATATATTTTTGATTTATTTTTTAATATCTCTGAAACTAATAGAAATATATTTATTCATATCTTAGGGTTATGTAAAGTTATCTGAAAGGAAGCCAAAAATGCAATAATATATAGGGTGTTCCATTTAAAAAAAAATCATCCAGGTCCACTGACACTTTTTTGAGCCACCCTATAGAAGTTTACATATTTTCCTCAAATACATCCTGGTACATACTTTAGATTTGCACTTAAACAAAATTCTCAAGTTTTTTATTCTAGGAGCTACAGATGCCCGACGCACTATTGCCGGACCCTGTATAATACACAGCTCGGGATCTGTACTACCAGAAATCAACCGAAGAATTAAGTTAGCATGGAGTACTTATGGAAGAAACTCAATCATATTCAAATCTAGAATACCACTTTATCTAGAAAAGAAAGATAATGTTTTTTTTATTTACAACCACATATGTAATACTGACATTAGTGACTTTTAAAAAATTTGAAAGTGTCAAATTATCTACATTTCTTCCCTCTTCCATTTCC